GACCCATTTGACTGGTGCTCATTGATATACAGGGCTCCGACATCTGGAGGTCAATACCATTGGGTATCCGAATTCGCACCTCGTAGTTGCCAGAAGTTCTTGAGCTATATCACCGGTAAGGAATGCTTGCTCCACAGATTCCGGGCCACATGACTTATTCACCTAACTAGGTTGGCTGTGTGCTATGGGCTGGCAGTGTGCCATCGTCTCAATTGCCTTCCTTGCAGGAACTATCATTCAGGGCCTCATTGTTCTCAACCATGAAGATTATGTCTTTGAGCGCTGGCATGGAACACTTTTGGTGATTGCCATCACCTTCTTCGGAATCTTATTCAACACCTTCCTGGCCAAGAAATTGCCTTTCGTCGAAGTCCTGATTCTTATCCTCCATGTTGTTGGACTGTTTGCCATTGTTATCCCTCTCTGGGTTCTGGCACCTCGCAGAAGCGCCAAGCAGGTCTTCACAGAGTTTAACAACGGTGGTGGGTGGAACAGTGTTGGAACAGCAACACTAGTTGGATTTTCCACTACTATCACCGCCCTAATTGGATATGACTGTGCCGTGCACATGTGTAAGTAAAACATTCTCCCATCGGGGATAAGACCTTGGTTGACATGATTGAATGCACCCAGCCGAAGAAATCAAAGACGCATCAGAGACCCTCCCGAAGGCTATGATCACTTCCGTTCTCATCAATGACTGTGCGGGATTTCTCATGCTGGTGACGATCTGTTTCACCCTAGGCGATATCGACGACGTCCTCGCAACCCCCACCGGGTACCCATTTATTCAAGTCTTCTACAATGCCACCAATAGTCTTCCCGGCACGAACACCATGACTGCCATCTTGGTTCTTACGCTCACTGCTAGTACGATTACCGAGTTGGCCACGGCCTCCCGGCAGCTTTGGTCTTTTGCCCGAGACGGCGGTCTTCCATTTTCTGGGTTTTTTGGATATGTACGTGAAACTGCCCCCCTCTGCTGGCAACCTCAGGCCATCGGTGCTGATCCATATAGGTTACTCCCGGGTGGAATATTCCTCTTAATGCGGTGATGGTTTCCCTGATGGTAACGGTTCTCCTATCGTTGATCAACATCGGTTCGACAACGGCTCTCTTGGCCATCGTCACCTTGACCATCGGATCACTTATGTCTTCATACGTTATTACGATTGGGTGCTTGCTGCTCAAGCGGATCCGTGGCGAGCCCCTGCCACCTCGTCGGTGGAGCCTCGGTCGGTTTGGAATGGCCATTAACATCGGTGCTTTGTGCTTCTTGGTGCCGGTGTTTGTGTTCGCTTTCTTTCCCCTGACCTCGACGTCGACCGAGAATCGATGAACTGGTGCGTGGTGATGTACGGTGGCATTATGATTATTGCCGTTCTATACTACATCTTCCGCGGCCGGCACGTCTATGTTCCTCCCGTTGCGCTGGTCAAGCGTGACATTTGAAGTTTTATCTATTTGTTACTAGGGTATAGGTCACCTAATTTTAATTGAAAGTAGATAGTATTGAAAAAGTTCTTGTATGCAGTTGCTCTCTTGAAGACACGTTCTGTCCCACACGCACAACAATTTCTTTCTTGGTCTCTCCCTTGTCCTTTTTAAGAGAGAAAATTCTGCTAAACTTCAGCCCCTCATGGCCCTCCCTGCACAGTGCAACCTGATAGTCACCCTCGCTGGGGACCGGCGAATAAGCAGGCCAAACCGGTTGGAAGGCCCACTGTAGCTCCACCAACAACTCCACATAAATCGCAGCGCCAGATCACTCAGAAGACAGGAACCTCGATAGTGAGGATCCGCTTGAAGCTTATTACGAAGCCCTCTTGGCGGGAATGCCGATCCCGTAGTGGAGACGACGCTGTAAAGGGAAAGACAACTGTGAACAGGGGATAGGCAGTAAGCGCATATAGGGGGGTGTGGAACTAGATTAAGTGCACACCACGAGGTAATGGCCCTCTTTCCTTTGCAAATTGATGAGGAACAATGGCATTACCAAACACTCAATTAGCTGCATAAGTAGCGTGTTTATAACAATCAATTATATTAACATTAATATGACATATTCTGTATAGCGGCTTGGCACGTGCATTGCCCTAAAAAATAGTGGGTCTGGGATTTGGTTCTTTTCTACGGAGTACCTCAGCTTTGCCTGTTGATAAATTGTGGATTCCACCTCGATATTAACTCATATCCCACGAATGAAAAATTTTCGAGCACCGCAACGCCATTGTGACTGGAGATCTAGTCCACTTTGCCGAGGCTTATTCGTTCGTGCAGGGCCTGGGAGTTGGTCAGGACTCAAGGTCCTCCACGCTTCTTCTTTAGACGAGAACGATTTACAGTATTGAAACACCATATACGGAGTACACAACCCCTAACGAGCATCTGTTTTAAGTAATCTGAAACAAAGCAATAAGGGATACGATGGACGGGGAAACAATAGTTCGGGCGTACTTCCGCTTACTACCTCCACCTAACGCATCACTACTAGTAGTTTACCTCCGACTACTACCGGCTGGGGGGCCAAAGGGGACCCATATGTGCGTCGGAGTTGCCGCTGATGTCAAATTTGTCATAGGTTCACACTCGGGAGGCCCTCGACCTGTGACCCTGGGAGCCCCCATTGGATGACATTTTGGCTCACATATTAACAGTCGAATGCTCGGATGGGGCGGAAGAGCCTAAAGATCAAACTTTAATTAAAAGATAATGGGCCAGTCCGTGGTGGTTGCGTTGCTTCAGGTACCAGTTAAAGTTCATAGAATGTGCTGGATCGTACGATTTTGAGTGTGTGTGCGATTAGGTGGCTGAGTCTTGTTTGGACTTCTTACACTGGTAAATTCTGGCATAGCAAAGGCTTTGCCTGGATGGCAGGCACAGGAATGACCAGGCCATCGTCTGCATAGCCCAGCTGGAATAGCTGAAACCTTAAAAAAGATCTATTAACAGCTCACTAGCAGTCAGGGTAACAGGGATTCTCCGGTACTTACGGAACAGTTTGGAGTAAGATGCAACCATGGAGTCCTTCTGTACAGGGATTATTGTACAATATGCCGACTTCGCTAAGCCCTAAAGTGCTAGAATCAAATCAAAAGATCGGGTTTACGGGCCCAGATCGGATCCGGCCATAGGCAGTAAAGTAACCTGAGACTCGAAAATGCACTGATTCTCAAACAATTTCCATAGTCATGTTACCCCAAAGGGCACCCACCTACAAGCTACTCTTGCGGTAGCGCCAGCACCACGTCTATGGTTCATGCGAGTTTATTGCATATGGAACACCCAGGCCACGATCGCTACCCTGCTTAGAGCAGCTAAAACTCTCACGCAGCGGACTAAATTTTTTGTCAATATACATATCTATCATCGACCCGAACCCCTGTCGCATTTTCTTTTTTTTGTTTTCTCAGTTTCAACCCCAGTCGGTGGCCACTTTTGACACCTGCACCTAGCAACGCCGGCTCCCATGGCGCGTTTGATCTAGAAAGTACGGCCATTCGAAGATAATGGCTATTAAAGTACCTCCTGGTCAATCGCCGCCATTCGAAACGGTTGACGGTGACCACCATGCTGGAATCATCATCATAGTCTCCGCTATCTGCCTGGTGCTGTCGTTGGTGTGTCTGCTAATCCGACTCTACGTCCGGTTCTTGCTAAGTCCGCCGTTCGGGATCGACGATGTGATTCTTCTTGGAGCAACTGTAAGTGCATTCACCTAATTGTGCTGAATGAATTCGAATACCTGCCACAGAGGACTTCGCATCCGCCTTTGCTTACTCCATGAATTTCAGGTTTCCGCCATTGTGGAGTCGATTATTGTTTTCCATGCCGCATCCATCGGATTCGGAACGGCGATCCACCTCCTGGACGATCATGCCGTGAGGAGTATTCAAAACGTAGGTCTACTTCGGCTGTTCATGGAAGCCGCATCAAGCCGACAGAGGAAGGTTTATCTAATACTGGTTCAGTCAGTCGTTGCGAGTGATGTGTTTTATCTCATCACTTTGTACCTTTCAAGATGCTGCGTCGTAGCCATTTACTCGCGATTGACGCCTCGAAGAAGACACAAGAACACCTTATGGGGAATCCTTGCCTTCGCCACGGCCGGAATCGTTATCTCCATCCTTGTGGTCACAGTCGACTGCTCACTTAATAAACCGTGGGTGACTCCTAGTGAACATTGCACCAACCTGGTACGTATATCGCTCGACTTCAGGGTACGCAGTATCAATGTACCTCGGTAATGGCTAACAACGGTAGTTTGCACGATGGCAATTCATCACCGCGATTGACATCTTTACCGAAATCGCCTTGTTTATCTTTGCAGTAGTCTTAATATACGGGCTTCAGATGGCCATCAAGCCGAAGTTAGTGATCATGGTGGCCTTCGCCTCCCGGATACCGTATGTATCCCATGCTGTCGAACCTGTCCTCCGTGCTCCGCCGAACCAATGCTAATCCCACATGATGCTTAGGCTTGTTGCCTTCGAAGCCGTACGGCTCTCTGAATTCCATTCATTTACCACCACACATAACCCTACCTTCGACGCCATTGAGCATTACACCTGGACGCAAGTCGCCCTCAACTACTCCTTAATTGCCTGCACAGCCTTCTGCCTCCGACCGTTCATGAATGCCGTGTCGACGTCTTATGGTACCGCCGGTGACTCCAACCTCAGCACTAGTTATCCCTACGCGTCAGATCGTGGTCGCAGCAACCAAGGCAGCTACGCACTACAGTCGCTTCAGAATCGGTCCGTTGTTGCGCCCGAGCCGGATATATTCCGGCCGAAGATTGGAGCCGGAGAGACGACAGTTACCTCTGCTCAACCTGGCTCATCGACAGGTGGTCATTCAGACCGTGATGATCGAAACAGCATTGGGAGCGAAGGGAGTACTAAAATGATCATCAAGAAGGATGTGGAATATACGGTGCATCGCTCTCCAAACCCCGAGTGCTGAGTCGCTCTTCCTCTCCTTTACCCTTTTTCTTTTCCTTATGTACCAATTTCTTGACAATAAAAGACCTGAATAGACGGATGCATGGATAACATAATAGCCATGCCGAACGATCTTACGAATATAAATATAAAACCAGTGTTGATATTTGCAATGGTATACCTTAACAATTGTTCCAAATTATTCTGTGACGACCATTATAGACCTTACTCACTCTCCGAGCTCTTTGGGAGATTCCCCAGATTCCGCGTCCGGTCGCTATCGCGAAGATACAGTGCGGTTTAGAATAGACTCCGTGTACTTTAGCGATCCATCATCGTACCATTTTGCATAATCAAGGCTCAATGCAATACTCAATGCTCATAATACAGCTCTATTTATTCCGGAAAAAGGAATACCCACATTTGGTGTCTCACATCACGTGTGAACAGAGTCCTGACTCTAGCGATAACCAAACATGTACAATTATACAGGGTCACAAAATCCATGTATAATTGTAACCGCTTATTTCAACGGTCGGGTTCCTTATCTGAGTGGTTGGGACTACTAGGAATATACTTGCAACTTGGTGATCGGCAATGCCCATCGCGTGGCATTCGTAATGGGCTCCACTGACGCCTGGCCGATCCCTAGTCGTACGACATTTTTTGAGAAGAAACTAAACCATGTGGGCAGGCTTCAAACTTAGTGCATGAATCATGTAAAAGCAGTCTAGAGTGCTCGCTTAAAACCTTTGCATTACCCAGGGGCACGAAGCCCCAGCTCGCAATTTATTGTTGTGCAACCGTTGAGACGTGGGCCGTTCATTTCCCGATTAGGAAGAGGATGCTACAGGTCTGTCGTTGTCGGCTCTTTGATAGTGCCAGCTGTATATTAGGGTTAGGTTAATTGCTGAGGCAAGTCTCGTTGTCGCTAACTATTGATTAACACGTAATTGTGTGTATCATAGGATCGGAATTGCTGGATAAACGGTATCTCTGAAGAACGTAAACCGCACAATGCGCGAATAGAATTGCCTAGGAGAGGCATCTTGGGAAGTTAGAAACAGATGCGACTAGTGGAGCTGAGAGCTTCATTGCATTCGGATTCAAATCTATTCGCATCACTTGCTGTATGGTCAACTGAAGAAATAAAACATAGAGGTTCCCAACAACAGACAGGCAAATCGGTGGGTATTATTAAATCCATTCCAATACTATCATGGTTAATCCAATACTCTATTTCTTCACTGCCATTAGGATACTATCCCCGTGCCGGCTAAACCTCCTAATCGCCTTAATCGTAAGACCAGCCTTGCCCAGGAGCTGGTGCCAATGCCTCTCCCGTCTTTCATAGGTATTGAACAAGGCCATCATTGTCATCGAAAGGCTTGCCCTATATTCTGTAGACGGCTCTTCATCTGGTAGTACATTTTCATTGATCAAAAGCGTGGACGACGAGCTCATGGCAGGAACAAGAGCCTCGAGAATGCGAATGCACGCGTCGTCATCGTTGTTATGAAAAACCTGTCGGAAGTGATACGCCTTTGCACCTGTAATCCGAGTAGGCCAGCCATATCAGTTAGCCATATCCACGTTTCCTTTGCCAGGAGCACCGCGTCTTACCTTTCACTGGCTGCTCCGTGAAATAGTCGTAACCCATCCTTTCTACCCGGCTCTCTGGGAGTGCGTTCTGTATCACGGATGGAGTATCTTGGAGGATGACTCGCCCTTTCAGGGTTGGATGTTCAGTCAGTAGATTCACGCACTGCTGACCATTCCCACCCCCTACATCTACAAATAATACCGTATCCGTGAATGTGTTCTCTGCGAACTCACGTTGGAAATCGACAACATTTAGCCAGCTGGGTAGATGCGAATGTTCCAGTTGAATGTAATTTTGAAAAGCTTTGCTTATGTCCGGGTCTGCATGTAGCATGTCGTAGGGCCCGCCCGAAGTGTTGTGAGCTAATTGAAAAGCGGTTGACCGTTGTCTGGAAGAGGATAAGAATGAATTTAACGCTGTGAAGGACGGGGTGAAAAGGTCATGGCTGTATTTGTATCTTGTCAGTCCTCTGAGAAAGACAATTAAACAAAGCTGGCGGGAAAAGTATACTATAGCAGAACACCATCTATGAAAAGAGGTGTAAGAAGCAGACGAGTTAATCTATTGGAAGCGAACTCGTTGGAAGAAATCCGATCCACCAAATACCTAGCTGCCATGAAATCTAGCAGCGTCTCCAAGCCTTGCCGGTTCATGCCTGTATCCTGAGCCAATGATGCGGTACTTGTCGCAAGGTGTCCCTTTTCGACATTTTCCTGCATGATATGAAGGATCCTGTGTTGCTGGCATACACGTACTGCTACTAGGGGCATTGCCTAATGCATGCTTAGTGAGACTCAGGGATGGCCTCCACTGGGACACTGACCGTGTGAATGATGCCCTGGAAAAGGTCGAAGGGGCTCTGCAGCTCGGTTTCCACGCGATGTGCAAGGGACGTAATCTCGTGCCGATGGCTCCTGTACAGCTCTGGATTTTCCACCACATTCTTGAGCTGATGAATGACCATACTTGGAGAGGCTGCGGGGGAGGACATCTTGCACAGATGAAACACTAGGGTCGAATTATCAAGCTCACAATGTGCTGTGTCCGTGGATTGAGATAGGGTCTAGAAGCTACTCTCGGTCAGCAAATACAGAATCCTAACTTCAATCCAACATATTGAATAGCACTTGACGCGCTTATTTTTAATATCATACAGGGCCGTGTACTAGTTCTAGTGTAATAGAAGGCGGAAAAACGTTGAGTAACATTCCCTGTAATCCTAATTTAAGTGAGAAACTGACCGATCAAGTTTTATGGCGATCCTCAATATGACTAGGTCAGAGAGCGCGCCTTCCGTTGATTTACAGGGTGTCAGGGCAGTCAAAGGTAGAATTCCCACGTCGCATCCATCAGAGATTGGAGAGATTGCCCGACTCAAGGATGTCGAGCTCTCTTATTTGTTCGCTCTCTTAAGTCCTCTTACCATATTAAGTAATAAATAACTTGGAAGGAAGCCAAGATATGAGGCGAGGAAGCTTGTAATGTGGGGTTATATGACGCCCCTAATTATGGACCTTTTTCAGGGTTAGAGCAAGGACTCCCGTCTAGAATCAATTATTATGAACCATGGTACCACTTGAAATGCCGTTCCATATGTGGATGTCACTCATCCCAATAGCCCTGCGGAGATTGCCTTGGTTGCAGTCTGCAGAACCCTTGGATACGAAGTGTTGTTTTCAGAATCATGAAGGGGTTTGTCGCCCAATATTCAACAGGCTCAACAACTTAACAAAAGGAAGATCTATCTTTATAGAATGCGGTACTATTTCCCGCCTATCATACCTCTATATTGACTTAGTAGACCTGCTGAAGTGCTTCACAATGAGAAGCTATGTACCACGCTCAAGAGCCACAGATGACTTTAGGGCGCCCTAAGGTATTCCACCTCCGGCAAACCATAATTAATATGGATTAGAGTATCAGGTTTCTGTCTGACCAATGGTCAGCAGACGTTACACTCATCTTCAGTTCCTTATTGTTAAATGCCGAAGTTTTACATAACAACAGATGCGTCCCATCACGCATAGGAGGCCTGGTACAAAACGCATTCTGCTCGATTCACCAGAGTGCAGGAAGGTTCATGAAAACTTGATTCTGTCCAGCTTCTCGACCCGACTTGGACCTACTGTGTCACGGTCCTGAGCTCTGTTCTGGGATCGGTCAGGGACACTAGTTGAAATTGGCGTGTCTTCTTTCAGAGATGCTAAGGCTGAAAAGCTGTTTTGTCTTTCCTCGTTCTTTCTGGGATGGCGATGGTAATCGGCTATAGTTATGTAACATATCTTAAAGATAAATACACAATGACAAGTAATTCTGCAAAAGCGAAGATTGTCGAAGGCAGTATGAGCTAGAGGCGAGTTCAGTCCGGATAAACGGTAGCGGCTGTCCCTTTCGGCAAGCGGATGGATGATGTTTATATGTGCAAGGATCGGTTGTAAACACTTGGTAAGGACAGCAAATAATTAGAGCTCGAGACTGGCTATATAGTACCCCTCAGCCACGGGCGATAACATAGTTTCGTCATACGAAAACCTGCATAGCGTAGGGCGTAGGGCGTACTCATGCATTTCCGATCATGACCACTGCCGGCACACAAGCTAAACATAAACCATTCGATTCAAACAAATTGATTAGAAGTCTCTTTTCAATTGCTCCACAGGGGGCAAGATTCCTTCCTTTTCCAGAATCTCGAATGTCTCCTCCAACTCATCCCAAGTATCGGCATATCCTGTCCAGCCTAACTTTCTAGCCTTACTCATACTACCTACGCAGCTCCAGTCTCTGCCCAAGACGAATGTTAAGAAGTCCCATGTAGCCTTGTCCCACGCCGCTTGGTCAAGTTTGTAAGTATCTCGTAACTTGGCCCATGCGTCATTGACATCGCGCCGTTTCGCCCATTTTTCCGGATCGACCTGGAGGAATAAGGTTGGGGTTTCTTGTTTCTCAGGGTGGTGAGAAACACCAATTTCTACCTCACGAACGGTCAGCGGATGCTTGTTTGGCATCCGAACTGTAGTGGACTCAAAATCTTTGAAGCCTTTCGTGTCTGGGACGCCACCATTGGGGAACATAGGATTGGGGATTTTACAGCGGAAGCGAGCCGCAAGGCGAGGCCAGAGATTCTGGAAAGATTCCGTGTCCCCATTCATCACGTTGAAGATGTTATTACCCGCATTCTTTGCGGTCGCAGCCCAGAGACAGAATTTGGCGTGTAGGTTGGCCGAAGTCCAGCAGTTGAAAGCAAAGTAGTTGGCTTTGCACCCGGGAAACGGCAGTTCTGAGCCAGGAAGAACTTTGCTCACAGCACAGTATAGACCTAGAGCAGTAGCCTCATTCATAAAGTTCCCTCGTGCATATCCCAAGACGTCTTCGGGGAGTGTGACGATCCATTCCCACTGACCACGACTAGCGGCCTCGACAAGAATGCGCTGCTGGTCATAGTAGAAGATAGGGGGCCAGGAAACTCCGCCTCTGTTACCATCCAGAATGGGGTCATCCTCAAGAAGCGGCTGTTTACAGTTACCGAGATGCACGCCGTAATGCTTGAATCCACAAGTGAGGACGAAGCGCTTCAAGTTCTTGATTGCCCCTGTAGTCTCGAGTGCCTGGATAAAGTTTGAAAGCATAACGCCATTGACGCGAGATGATTCCGCGGGGTCATCCCGTGCCAGATATGCGCAGAAGTAGATATATTCAGCGGAGATGTTGGCAAGGGTCTTCGCCATATCATCTGCACTGGCTTGGAGGTCGAGGGTTGCATGTTGAATTTTGGAATCCTGGTAGCCCGGGTTACTTCGGGAAAGCGAATAAATCTTGTCATAGGAGGAGTCTTTGCACAGGTAATGGACAATAGCGCTACCTGTTATACCTGTTGATTCTTAATTAAACAGGGAACGTTAAAACGTTGAGGGGAAGCATCAATCCCTACCGGTAGCGCCAGTAACGATAGCCGAAGGCATGGTCTAGTACGTTCACACGACGAAGAAGAGTGCGTAGTTGAGTAATTGCTTGAAAATATCAAGTTAAAGACACTGTTGCGCTCAAAGCTTATATACAGCATTTGTTCAAGTCAGAGGAGAAGAAGCTGTGGTCCTCTTATGTCATGACCTCATACCCTCTGTACTGACTCTGGATCGGGATCTGCTATCAGACTCCGAAGTGGCGCCAACGAACACGTCAAAAAAGGCTCTCGGCGACATATGACGTAGATCGCAACAGTTCGTTTGATTAGATTCTATAATAAGAGTCAATGCAGATAAAATGTCTGGCAAGGTTAATACAGTGTCACTCTGCTAAGTATTATATAGAGACAGCAACTCCAACCCGTCGAGTAACTAAACCCAGTAGATAACTACTAATAACGGAAAAAGAATTCATCAGATCATTAACTGTCAGGAAGAAAGCATGTCTACGTATGCCTACTTCACCTTCCCAAACATGATTATTACAGCTAAACATCTCACAGTGGACAAGATCAGTACATTACCTTGATCAAGGCTTCAAAACCGGTCGAGCCCGCTGTGCTGAATTCCATATTCGACGAACTTCCTCCTGTTAAACCAGACCAATTGACTGGCGAGTGGAATGGGAGGTTCTTCGACACTGGCCATCAGATTGTAAGCCTCCTGAAAGAGATACGGTGGGTGGGCAAGTCATTTAAGTCCACCGACAATGTGGATCCGGTAATCATTGAGAAGGATGAAGAACGAATCAGTTGGGGCAAGTGGGGTTTGCATCTGTACGCGATCTCTCTTCAAAGAATTGTCGTTGGGAATTAACCGAGGATTAGTTGAAGGAGATGGTGTATCGAGGGGTGGTTCAACTACTATGATTTACGATGAACGGCCGATATTCGATCATTTCCGCTATATAAACGACAACCTCATCGCAGGTATTATGGAGGGAAAGGCTTTTGACGAGGACGTTTTCTTCTACCTGGAAAGGTAGAGTCTGGTAGATGACAATTCTACCACAACCCTTAGGCAAACCGAATCCGAAGGATGCCCTATTGTATGATGAGGTCCTACTCGGACTTCTCCTAGAAAGGCTCGGTTCAAGGAAACTAGGCTGGGGGCAAGACAGAAAATAAGAGTGAGGAGAAGTAGTAGCTGCCAACCAGATCATGTAGTCATGATTTGTACAATCGATGACTACTCTTGCGTCTTACTCTAGATCTCGTACGAGAAATTCAAATCCTCCCCATCGTTTGTCTGCCAGGTCACTAGGTGCAAGATACCATATTGTTGCTTCTCACGACTAGAATCACACTGGTAACATTCCAAGATACAATCTTCACGCTGGCCACCTAGCGAGAGAACTGCTGCAGCTATCAGCCATAAAGCATGGGGTAATTTGTTTGGGGAAGTAGGCTGTACCAGATCGAAATCAGAGTTATCGGCTCAGCTCCACCTCGACTCGGAATTATTATCACGGCATCTGCTACGCCCTACGCAGATCCCGATTCCCGAACTATCCCGCCAAGGATTTTCGGAGACTTTCCCCTCGAAATTGTACCGGCCTTTGAAAAGTTCTGACAAATCTGGGTGCCGTCACTGTCAATGCTATGCTTCGCAGGAACTCTTGGTCGGAATTGCTTCTGCAGAGACTTCTAAGGAACTTCCAGTATCTACCCCTAATCTCGTAATCACTCGGAGACATTCTCTTAATGTGTTATGTTTTGTCAGCGCATTTGCAATGGATTGCTCACTAGGCGGGAATATCAGCGACAATGTGAAGACTTATATATCCTAGACCTTTGTACAGGTTGTACGACCTATTCTTAGCCATTCAGCTACCTAAAAGTTTCCCTGCCGTGGTGGATCGTCGCAAATATCTTCCCTCTTTGCTTCTAAAATCTCGATATAGTCAACGCTACATAATATCAACCATGGCAAATTGGCCTGACGTCCCTACCAAGCCCGCTGAGGGCATCTCTTACTTCACCCCGGCTCAAGCACCCCCCGCCGGCACAGCCCGAAACCCGCAGACTAGTGGGAGGCCGATTCCCAAGCTCTTCCAGCCTCTCACAGTCAGAGGGTTGACATTCCAGAACCGTCTAGGGGTAAGTGCTCACCTAGCATTGGTAGAACTTTTCTAATGGGATCTCTATAGCTGGCGCCTATGTGTCAATACAGTGCTGACGATGGCCACATGACGCCGTGGCACTTGACCCACTACGGTGGCATTGCTCAACGTGGACCTGGTTTGATGATCATTGAAGCAACTGCCGTTGTTCCTGAAGGTCGTATCACGCCAGGCTGCGTGGGGTTGTGGAAGGACTCCCAGATTGCACCTATCAAGCAGGTCATTGAGTTTGCACACAGCCAAGGCCAGAAAATCGGCATTCAGCTGGCACATGCTGGGCGCAAAGCCTCCACGGTGGCACCTTGGCTCGGTGGAGCTACTGCCACCAATGCTGTTGGTGGCTGGGTTGACAATGTGAAGGGCCCCAGCGCCATCCCATTCGCACCAGACAACATTATCCCTAAGGCGATGACCAAGGAAGATATCCAGGAGCTTAAGGACGCTTGGGTTGCGGCAACCAAGCGCGCTTTGGCTGCGGGGGCTGATTTCATTGAAATTCACAATGCCCACGGATATTTGCTCTCATCCTTCCTCAGTCCTTCGGCCAACAAGCGGACCGACGAATACGGTGGCAGCTTTGAGAATCGTATTCGTCTGTCCTTGGATATCGCCAAATTGACCAGGGACACTGTCGGCCCCAATGTCCCGGTCTTCCTCCGTGTTTCTGCCACAGACTGGCTGGAAACCAGCATGCCCGAGGAGAAGGGGTGGAAGGTCGACGATACAGTCAGATTTGCAGAGGCCCTGGCCGAACAAGGCTGTATCGACTTGATCGATATTAGCAGCGGTGGTGTACACAGTGCTCAGAAAGTGAAGTCAGGTGCTGCCTTCCAGATTCCTTTTGCGGCAGCTGTAAAGAAGGCTGTTGCTGATAAAGTGCTGGTTGCTGCTGTGGGCATGATCAACAACGGTACCTTGGCTGACCAGATTCTCAACGAAAATGATATCGACGTTATTCTTGTCGGACGGGCTTTCCAGCGTGATACCGGTCTTGCTTGGCACTTCGCTAAAGATCTCGATGTTGAAATTTCCATGGCTGCTCAAATCCGCTGGGGGTTCACCAGTTTCCGGAATGCCTCGGAATACATCCAGCCCAATTCTATGAAGGCATCAATTTTCGAATGAAGTGGAAACATCTCTGCATTTTGTGATGTTAGTATTTTTCGGGGGAGGGTTATAAAAGTTGCATTGGGTAGGCGTATATATAGATATTAGACCATGTGCTTGAGATAATAGATTATAGAACCGATTTATATCTTACAGAAAATACTTTTTTCAAAACTTGGGTATACACACACACACACTAAGCCTATCTCCCGCTCAGCAATTAACAATACGTACCAACCGGTAAACATCGTTGGCTTCAAGAGACGAATCGCTGGATACTAATCAGAAGGATAAAGTGTCTGCAATAATACACTGTGCATTACCTAGGAATGGCCCCCCAACGCGCCGTACTACGATACATTAACCAAATTAACTCTCATTTACCCATGTTACACCCGGGGCAAGCGCATCGAACTTAGGGGAGCGGCTTCTCCTTCATAGCAAACGTTGGCAAACACAGTCGTATATACTGGCTTCTCTCAATCAAAACTGGAGAAAACACATCGTTATCCCCACATTGCTAGCAATATTCTTTTTTAAGATCTATATTACAAGACCAAAACATGCCTTCACGTTAGGCTAAAGGAACTGCTCTGTGAGAACTGAGTTTCAAGGAATATTGTGTGTATTGGCTGATTCCGTACACAAGGTTAGTGTGGACTTTGCTCTTCCCAAGATATTGCCATAAGACTAACTGTTATAATAACAGCTGACTCCAAATCTGGCACAAGGAGCTAACTATGTTATTAAGAGTGCCGCATCGCTAGCTAACTGCCTTGTCTGACCAATGTGGCTGTGTGGTGATATTACACGGTTAACTTCGGGGTGGCTTATAAAGGAGACAGATCCATAATTAGTCGTGCAAGAATGCTACTCAGAATCACCCTGCGGGATAGGTGGATATAGCTGGTGAAAAATCCATCATCCTTTTTCTAAGAATTGATATGTGATTATAGTGCCAGGAGGGAGTGGTTGTCCACTACCAACGGCTGGGCTTTCTGGCAACTAGATGGCATCTTGAGTGGGATTGGGTCACGGGAAGAGAGCCTCGAGGACGCAACTGGGTTATATGAATATCTGATCCAATTTCTAAGATACGCTGTGTAATTGATGAGATTGGTCTATTTGGGCACGAATGGAGAGACGGGATCCTGACTCATAATGTACAAAGTGTGGGGAGCTTGTGTCATGCAGAGTAGTGATAAAGGGTATTTTATAATCATGATGGTCTGGGTATGAGCTGCATATTCAGTCGCCACAGTAGAGGACTGAGCCTTCTAAACCAATATATGAAATTGCAATATTACAGGTTAATGTTTTTAAAAGTAAGAGAGTTGGAGAAGTTTCAGCATCCCCATCACTGAAGGAAAGAGATAAGGAGCAGAAGGCCAAGTCCAAGGCAAGGCTTCACCTGTCCAGGGCATTTTCTTGACACTATAACAATGTTAACAAGGGAAAGAAGCCGATAGTTTGGGAATGAGATTTCTGATACTTACCATCTGCCAGTAGGTTCCTTTAGTCCGAAGCAATTCCTGATGTGTTCCCTGCTCCACGATTCGCGATCCATGGCCAGTCTGGCTTTCGCCAAAGACAAAGATCATATCAGCTTTCTGGATAGTAGCAAGTCTGTGTGCGACCGCGACAATTGTCATGTTTCTCCTCCCCGCCAGGCGCTCGAGAGCCGCTTGTACTACCTTTTCTGACTGCGAATCCAGACTCGAAGTTGCCTCATCCAAGAGAAGCAATGACGGCTTTCGTAGCAGTGCACGCGCAATGCATAGCCGCTGCCTCTGGCCTCCGCTCAGAGCTGTCTGTGCTTTAATACCTAGTTCGGTAGAATAGCCCTCAGGTAACGACGTAATAAAATCATGTATCTCAGCGTCTTTGCAAGCTTGGATTATCTCATCCTCGGTGAAGTCAGATTTATCCTGTCCAAGTGTGATATTCTCACGAATTGTTCCCTCGAAGAGTCTTGGTTCTTGGGCCACTAGCGATAACGATCTGCGATAGGATGATACTTCAAGGGAGCGGATGTCTTGGCCATTCAGGGATATCGTGCCTTGAAAAGGGTCATAAAACCGTTCCAGCAGGGATATTACAGTTGTTTTTCCGCAGCCAGAAGGTCCAACGAAGGCAACGAACTGTCCGCTTTCAACACGAACATCAAGTCCAGTGAAAAGAGGGACATCTTGAGATGCATATTTGAAAGCAACGTCACAGAAATCGATGCTAGCTCCAGATTGTGAAGCAAAGCGGGCAAGTTGTTTCTGTCCGATGATATCCTTCGTGACTGAACTGGATCGTAGGCTCAATACCCGGTTAGCCGATGCAGTGGCTTGCGCCATATTCGGTCCAAAGCTGAGGAATTGACCGGCTGATTGCCCTCCCTGGATGATGGCCATGTAAATGACAAAAAATGATGTCGGCTGATACTCTCTAGACGCGAGCAGTTGACCACCGTACCTAGTAGAGTCTGTGAGTATTACATAGACACGTTTGCCCAGGGTATTCTTACCAGAAGGTGAGGGCCATCGCACATAGCTCAACACTATCAGAAAAAGCAAATACCAGGGTGGCGTACCAGGCTTTTCTGAAAGCTTTGTTTTGTTGCTGTCTCAATAGATTGGCATAGCGGTCAAGGATTGCGTCTTCCATCGTTAATGCCGATACAGTTCGAAAAGCCTCGATAGATTCTGCTGCAAACTGTGAGCTTCCAGAATACACTTCTGCGTTCATTGCTTCAAACTGCAATTCATATCTAATGCGCATAAAGGCGGCTAGGAAGGTGCATGGCAGGGCGGCAAACACAGCCACGAGGCTGAGTTTCCAGCCGAACGAGAACGCAATTGCGATACAACCGACCATGCTGAATATGGAGATAACGGGGAATACCCCATTCATTCCAAGCAGTTCTTGAACTTGCTTTGGGTCGGTTGCCAGGCGGGAAATCAAAGATCCAGATGCATTCTCATTCATATCGTAGAATGGTATAGGTTTCTCTAATATGCTCTGAAAATACTCCTTCCTGCAGGACGAACCAATCCTCTGTGCCATGTTAGCTCTCATAATACGTGTAAGGATGTATTCCATGGTCATACCACTGAAAGCGAGTTGGAAGAGTATCCCACGATGCTGTAGCAGAGAGCAACGCCTAGGGCAAGGATGAAGAACATCAAAGCCCAGAAGTCGGCGGCATCAGCAAGCTGTTGACCAGTATATTGGAATACATGAATGAGTTTGGCGAAAAGCCAGCTCTGAAGCGGGAAAGCGGCTTCCAGTAGTATCTTGTCAGTTATTGGGTTGCAGTGCGTGGAACCTCGGAACCTTACCTCCTGCACCAACTGCGCCAAATATAGTCGTTAAGTAAAAAGGCCAATTTGCACGTTGTTCATATAGAAGCAGACCGACGCTACTAAAGAAACCCCGAGTTTTGCTTTTCTTAACTTCTTCCTCCATCTGTGGTTTATCATCGAGAGCCAAATGGGCCAACTGGACCTCTTCTTTTAGCCGATGAGCAATATCACTCTCGTCGGTCTCGTCTTCTGCCAAAAGCTCAAGTTTTTGAGCATGGACAAGGTCATGATAAACACCTTTTTCATCTGCCAATAGCTCGTCGTGTGTTCCTTGCTCGACATTAACACCGCCTTTCATGACAATGATGTGATCTGCCTGTCGAATGGTAGATAGCCGGTGAGCAATTACGATGGTGGTGCGGTTTTTCGAAACTTGCTCGAGAGCGGCTTGGACAATCTTCTCGCCACGGACATCGATTGCACTTGTTGCTTCGTCTAGGATCAAAATAGTGGGCTGTTTTACGATACTACGAGCAATTGCAAGGCGTTGCCTTTGGCCACCACTCAATTTGGTGCCGTTTTCGCCCACGAGGGTGGAATATCCCTATGAAGGTTAGACGCAGTGGGATGAAATTGAAGATCTTAACATACCTTTGGCAGGCGGCTGATGAATTCCTCCGCAAAGGCCTCCCTACAGGCCTTCTCCACCATCTCTCTCTTCACCGCTTCGGTTTCGTTTTCCCATTTCGTTCCGATGAGGCCGAATGAGACATTGTTGAAAATAGTGTCGTTAAAAAGGAAGGGCTCCTGCTGAACCAGTCCGATCTGCGATCTCCACCATTTTATATCCAGGCTATTGATATTGTGTTCGCCCACGGAGATGGTTCCTCGGCTATGGTCCTCTTTTCTCACTCCCAGTTGATACCATCGTTCTACTAGAGCCACAATGGTACTCTTACCCGAGCCTGATGGGCCAACCAATGCCGTGGTCTTGCCTTTTTTGAATCGAGCATCCAGACCCTTGAGAACCGCAGTATCCGGTCGCGTAGGATATGTAAAGTGGACACCTTGGAAAACAATGTCCACATGAGCTGAAACATCCGGATCACGGAGCCCGCCAAGCTCAATCCTCTCGGAGTCGATCATCTCGAAAAATGAACTCGCGGCGCTGGCGGCCTTGGAGATCATGATCAATGGTGTTGCAATGTTTCCCAGGATTGTGACTGCAATCATAATGGAGAAAAACACACTGCCGAGATAATGAGCAGATGCAAGCAACAACTAAGATCACGATCGTGTACTTACGTGATGACTGTGTTGATATTATCGATATGGCCTTCGCGGAACAACTTCAGTCCAAACCAGAACGCCAAAGAAAAGCTCGAGTACATTGCAAAGAACATGAGAGCAAATTGGACTCCCATGACAATGGACATGTTTTGTCCACGCTTTCGTGATTCTTCAATCCAGGTGGCGTATTTCTGTCTGAGAGGCTCCTCAGCCCCGAGGGAAACGACAGTTCGAATCGAGCCAAACACTTCTGCTGCTATTGATGAATGCTTCTCATCGGCCTTGTCGACTTTCTGTTGAACTTTGGTGATAATGGGAATCGTCACACTACAAGCGATCAGGATAAACAAGAGGGAAGCGCTGGTAACGAGAGTCAAGGCCCACGAGTATTTGAAGGCGATGATATATGCTGTAATTAGCAGAGCCAGAGATTGGAACAAAATTGCAAGCTTATCGGAAATACTTTGCTGAATCGAATTGGAGAGCGTCGAGATGGTATTCGTGACCGTGCCCACCGACACTTGATCGAGTGTAGCTATCGGTTGGGTGAAAAGGGACTGCATGTATTCCAGCCGCAAGGCAGCTGAGACTCGAAGACCGATAACACGGAAACATAACTGTGATTGTTGAGTCGAAGGTTCTCAACTGGTTCAAGTAGCTTGGCATACCATTGAGACATATGTTAAAGCGAACTTGGCAATGAAGAGGTAAACGATATACAAGCTAAAATAATTTCCGTCAGCTCATGAATAAACAAAGTTATTCTCGATAGGTATCTTTGGGTGTCTTACCTCAGTTTGCTCACGGATGATTTAAATTGTGCTTCTGTGACCGAGGTGCCAGGGATAAAATATCCGTTGAATTCGCCAACCATCTTACCGAACACGATATTCATCAGGGGCAGTGGCTACAACACACCCATCAGGCTTAGAACTTGAATTTTTCCCGGAGAAGAGACATACCACTCCAGATCCAATCGAGCATATCAACGCCATTCCGAGTATGACTCGATCCTTGGCGCTTGTGTAGGAAAGGACTCTCTGTAGACATGTGAGCGGCACATAAGACTTCCCAGGAGAGGCTATTCGCATACAAAGTAGTTGCCTAAGGAGGCCGCTTGTTCGGCCTCTGCAGCATTTTTGCGTCCATCTTGGCTTTCAGTCTCACATCTAGTTCGATCTGCGTTCACAGTGATGGTCTCCGACTCGTCCTGCGCGGGTTGAGGAGCAGCATCGAGCTCTCCGGTTTCATGAGGTGGTTTCTTGGTTGAATCCTGTGGCGGAGAGCTGTCCGACAAACGGCCCATCGTGATGAATCCGTGTCACAGGCTTTGGAAAAAAAAATGAATCAATCCTCAGAGATTTTTCCAGGGAGGGGGTAGTAATTTATAGGTCAAGGAGTATTTCCAGAAGAAGCGGGTCTAAGCGGTTTATGACTATGTTCAATACGAGCATGGTCTGGGCAAGATAAGCTTACATCGTTCATCAGGTATTATTCTAGGATCAGAAGATTAATAGCTACTTTGGTTCCCACTTTATGATCAAATACTTACTCCCTGACCATAGTAGCGTCCATAGCTTTGCCACTTAGGGGGTTATTATTCACGATTAACATAATTCTCCAGTGGTCCCAAGACACCAAGCGGCATGTAGATGATACGTGGAACCCTGCTTGGTACATACATACATAAATAACTTCCCGGGAATTCGGGGATTTCCAAGTCCGGGCGATCGGGCAGGCAACGTGACTGCCTTGTCCCCGTGTTTTTTTGGCTTTTTCCATCCGGGATTTCGGACTTTGCAACACCCCGTTCGAATGTCCCTTACTTTTTTCCAGTCATCCCCCCCAAATGAAAATGAGCTCCCGGAAACCACCGAAGTATATCTCGGTAAGAAGAGCCTTGCCTTATTCAGCCCGACTGACATTCTGATTGGGAATTCAACTCAGTGCACTCGCTGCCAATCCAAAAAGGTATTAGTCAGAAGAATTCGCTTGCAAAAGACACCCCAAGAATGACGTCAGGGCTAGATTCGATGCAACAGAGTCCAACCTCGATGTGATAAATGCGAAGCCATCAATGAGGAATGTGTCTATGTACCTCGGAAAGCTCGGGCCAAGAAGCAAAGGTATGATGTATTATACCACAAGCGCAAATTATACTCAGCTGTGCATCACTCATCATATAATTTACTAGTAATCTATCTGAAAAGGATCTTCTGTTGGCCGTACTCAGACGTCTCGAGCGTCTAGAGGACCACTGTAAGATTGACCCAGATCGTGCTGGTCATGGCAGCGCATCACGTTCGATGTCCGTGTCGTCGGACATTACTGGGAGTAGACCGGCAAGCATCGATCTGCTACACAGTAGTCAGCCTCGAACCCCAAACACGCAAGCGGTGGTCAATAGTATGTTGAACGGAGTAAAAGATGATCAGGCCAGATCACTGCTTTCCTCCAATGTGTTCTGCCATCTGCGAAACGTGGAGTCCCGCCTTTTTGAGAACGAGGCATGTGTAAAAGCGATAGAAGCTGCCATGGCGGAAATGGAACGCCTGGGAAATACACGAGAAGTCGACGTTCTAGATCCTCCTGTTATCACTAAGGACATGGCAAGGAGGTGGGTCGAATGTACGTGCTGTTCGATAACTTGGACACAGACGTTTTGCTGATCGGGTCGGATAGCTTATTACAATGTCTACCAGTTCGAGGGATTTCGAGTTCCTCTTGACAAGAGCTTCGTCATGTCTATCCCTGACCTGTTGGAAATACCTCACGTCCACCTGGACAGTACATCGAGGATTATTTACTACAATATCCTCCTTCAAGGCATTCTGTTAGATTCGGAATACCTTCCTGGAAGAGGTAAAATCATACAACATCTTTACCGGAGTTGTATGATGTTGGTGGATGACTGGCTATGTCACATCGACAACACTCTCCCGGACATGTTTGCAGCTTTTGTCATGGTAGGTATATGCATCAAACATTCATTAGATGAACGTCAAGGCTGACAATTTTCCGTTAGCTATCGATGACACTCGAGGGCTGTAATAGCGAAATGGCTTGGAAAATCTTCGGCTATGCCTGTGATATTGCTCGGGCTCTAGGATTTTTCTCCGTCGATGAACAATCGGACGGACACGATTCACAGTCTGAGCTACACAGTGATAGTGAAAGTGAGGTGGAGAAGAATCGAAAGCGGTTCGAATTTTGGCACCTTCTAAGGATGGATTGCCTGTTTCGTCTATCCTTTGGTAAACCGGCCCTCATCCCCGGTGGGTCATGGACAGTAAACTTCCCTGATCCTACCATTACCGGTATTGATGACGCGTCTACTCGCTTTATTCAGATCCATTTCCTAGCGTCGATGCGTCTTACACTAACTCTATTAAAATATTTGGACTTGGTGGACGCTGGAATGCATCAGGATACGGATGTATATGATCAGGTGCTCGATGGCCTCATTGCAGAAGTGCAAACTATCATGTCAGACTGGAACGCGGTATGTTCACAATAGCCTCAGATCAGTGGATAATAAGAGCTTACCATCTAATGTAACAAAGGAGGAACTTGTCAGCGCCGCCACTAATCATGTTGATACTTGGTTCAGTGTGGACATCCTATTCAGTAGCTACAAGATGCTCATCGTCTTCACACAATCCAAGAGATGCAACCAGAACAGTCAGTTTCTGCCAAGGCATACTGTAGAGGTTGCCAGGAAGTCTTTAAGAATATTTCAATCTTTGATGAATGCGGAACTGCACGCGTACTGGGGTATTAGGTATGTTCATTCAAAGTGTCTGGTTTTACCTTGCTAACCACAGCCTTCTTCTCATAGTCTCATACTACTGCATCAATTTGTCCCATTCTTTATCCTCTGCGCGGATATTATCGGATCCCATAGATACAACGAGCTCGAGGATGATTTCGTCCTAGTGTCCTGGCTTAACGACTTTGTGGACAAGGCAGCGGAGGAACGACCCGAGCTACGACCAATCGCCGCTATAGCAAATGCGATGGCCATAGCGTGTCAACAAGTGCAATTCCCCGCTAGCTGATTCAGCAGGGTTGCTAAACATGTGGATGACTAGGCTTGAGCTCAAAGTTGGGCTCGACTGTCCTTGGTTTAGGGCGGAAATTACTCCTAGCGTGCCTCCTTGGTTTCTACTATCATCCGCGACTAACATTAATGACATCAATCAATGACCTCATACCGGTTGACCAAACTGGGCAGTTATGGTTGGACTTCCTATATGGGCGATCCCCTTGCGGTCATACAAAATGCGTAGCAAATTCCACTTGCTCTATCTGAGACACAAGATCATGATGGTTCGTCTTGGAATCCTGAGCTTTCAGGCTTGGACTTGCTTCTCTTCATTATTTGGCACTCGCGCTAATACAACATCAACCTACAAAGCTCGCATTTTCTCGGTGGCGCTCGACGGTGGCCTCCCAAATAAGCACTGTGCATGTTTTCAATACTATCTACCACCATTGGTAATTGCACAAGCATTCCACGTTATTCAATCGACAGAGTTTCTCTATATACTATCTAGAGTAAGATTGTCTCACTCTTTCACTCATTGTGGCCTGGTAAAAACCACGGGGCTACATTTGGATCATCGCAATCGCTTCAGGTTTCATGTGGGTAATTTCAGTTGTGAACCAACACGACTCCATATAACGATAAACGGCTGTAGGTAGGGATCTCTAGGTAGAAGGAATATTTTCCTTGGAGTATAATTGCTCACAAGTTGAATACATACGGGAACAGGTTTAGCCTACCCAAGTAAATATATATAAATGGAGCCATCGATCTCCCACAACTGACGCTTCCATTGTTGAGCTAGTCGGATAATCGTAGCTATGGGTCCTCGGGTTATTAGGCTATTCGGATGGCATGTTGAATAACTTGAACCCTCTGCTTTAGTAGATATTGCTACTATCAAGTTCGCAGCCATGTTCAAGCTCGATACGTTTTGGTTGTCTTCATAAAAATTAGTGAGGTTGGCCCCTTTAAAGCTTTGCTAATAATACAAATTTAGCAGCAATTCCTCAACAAGCATCCGATGTGGTGTAATGGCTAACATCGCTGTCTCTCACACAGCAGCTCGGGGTTCGATTCCCCGCATCGGAATTATTTTTTCTCTCTTTTCCTCCCGTACCTTTTCTATCATAACCCATTCATTCACTATCTTACATTGTTGTTACTGACTACCTCGCTCTGTGACTTGTCTCCTCCCCTCTTCTTTTTTCCCTGACCCAGTGAGCCATCTTTCCTACATCTTGTCATCTCTTAATCCATCCCTGGAGGAATAGTCTAAGTACGCAACCCGGCCAATGTTGGCTGCCCAAGGCGAGTTGCTGCCTAGTGCCTACCTCCACAAGACTTCAATACAATCAATCGCCTGCGACTGACACTTCCAGCTAGAAGTCATATTTGGGCACAGGCATATAGATCAGCACTGTATTATCGAGAAGTACAGCATGACGGTCATTGAAATTGAAGTGGTCTTTGACTTCGTTTGCGCAGTAGGCCATCCAACCTATCTATACCCAAGAATATGGATGCCCAGCTCTAATGATTCTGCATAGTGGTGCTACATCGGCAAGCGTAAGCTAGACAGAGCCATCGCTCTATACCAGAAGGTCTATCCAGGTGGAAGAAATGACGTCTTCTCTATCAAGTGGCGGCCGTACTACCTCAACTACAACCCGCACGCATACAGCGTACCCAAGAGCGAATTAATTGATGACCGGCTGAGCGACATGACTCTGGAACAGCGAACGTCCCTATTCAGCCGCATGAATCAGATTGGACGGTCCGTCGGTATTGATTTCAAAGCCGGGGGTATGATTGGGAATACTCGCGACGCGCACCGCCTTGTCCATCTTTGTGGAACTCAGTCTCCCGAAGTCCAGAGTGCGCTGGTGGAGAAGATCCTTGAAGCCTATCATGAACTGGAGAAGGATATCTCATCTCAGGAGGTGTTGACTGAGCTGGCTGTGGATACTGGGCTCGATGCGAAGCAGGTGCATGAGTGGCTGGATTCTGACTTGGCGGCAGAGGTTGTGGACAACCAAGCCTGCAAAAATAAAGAGGAAGAGGGCAATACGGGTGTCCCTCGCTACATAATTCAGAATGTGTATCAGTTGGCTGGTGCTGCAGATCCATCCGAGTTTATCGAGATTTTTACGAAGGTTAAGGAAGACGAATCTCAACGCTGAAGAAGAGCAGGATTCTACTATCATACGACAGTTATCCTTCTTTACGCTTATTATTACCTCTTTAAGGTAGGATAGTATAGTCGCGGAATTAGCTGCGCTGATATTAATAAGCTCCCCACACTAAGCTTCAACACACCCCACACTCAATTAATAATACAGTCAGTGTAGTTAACTACGACCTACTGAGCATATAGTGATTCACAGAGTGTCTTTATTGCATCCTTCATAGCTTCTAGCATCATCATGTCCGCAAAGGTGTTTGTGACCGGAATTACCGGCTATATCGGAGGCGACGCATTCCACCTCATCCAGCAGAACCATCCGGACTTCGAGTTTTCAGCCCTGATTCGAACTGAGGACAAAGCTCAGCGAGTACGCGAGAAGTATCCACAGGTACGGGTAGTCCTGGGAGACTTGGACGATGCAGACAAGATTGCCAAAGAAGCTGCATGGGCAGACATTGTGATTCGTGCGTTTAGGAACCTATTTAACCAAGTCCCGAGCTACTCCAGCTGACGGTATCTCAGACACTGCCGATGCCTCGGATCATGTTGGGGCAGCAAATGCCATCGCGAAGGGCATGATCGAAGGGCATAGTCCCGAACGGCCGGGATACTGGTTGCATACCGGCGGTACCGGTATCTTGACCTACTTTGATTCAGAAGTACGCAAGGTCTCCGGCGAGCCTGACGAGAAGGTGTTTAACGATTGGGATGGCGTTGACGAACTGGTTAACCTGCCTGCGGCTGCATTCCATCGGAATGTGGATGAGATCGTGTTGAACATTGGTTCTAAGTATTCCGACCGTGTCAAGACGGTCATTGTATGTCCGCCTACTATTTACGGCCGTGGCAGGGGACCCGTGTCAGGTCGTGGTCGACAGGTCTATGAACTGGCCTCGTTTATCCTGACGCAGAAGTATAGCCCTCAATTAGGGAGAGGCTTGGCTCGGTGGAACAATGTACATGTCTACGACCTGAGCAGGTTATATGACGGCCTAGTGCGGGCCGCTCTGGATCCTGCAAGAAAGGGCGACGAGGAAATTTGGGGCGCCAAGGGCTACTTTCTTTCTGAGAATGGAGAACATGTTTGGGGGAACCTATCCAGGCTGATCGGCCAGCAAGCTTTCAAACATGGCCACCTTACGCAAGAACCAGAGCATAAGGAATGGTCGCTTGAGGAGGCCCTGAAATCCCCCGCAGGCTTTGAGGCTGCTAGCTGGGGTTTTAATTCTAGAGGTGCTGCTCTTCGAGCGAGGAAAGTGTTAGGCTGGCAGCCCCAAGAGCAGAGCCTCGAGGCAGAGATCCCAGAAATTCTCCGCGCTGAGGTAGTCAGGTTAGGCCAGTGAGGCTCGCATGATCCGGACCGGCTTTAAATGAATGAGATTCCCACAAATACAGTGCGCGGTAATAGGCATTGGTTCTATCTGAAATTGTATCTTTTCACAGCGATGAGCCACGGTGCACGACAGCTTGCACCGTTCGGCCTAGGAGGTAGACAGAAAGGCCATTTGTTGGTAAGACCTAGTAATTTAACAATCTACCTGATTAATCGTATCGCCTACACACCACCGCTCCACGGTACATTTTACGGCGGCTTGGAGATTCTGTAACGTCCTTTCAGCAAACCAAGCCAGATGGGGCGTCAAGACCAAATTCAGGTCTGCTGCATCCGGGCTCAGCAAAGGTGAGTCTCCTCTCCCAATAGGCTCATTGGCATAAACGTCAACTGCTGCTCCTGAGATACTCCCCTCTTTAAGTGCATGAAACAAAGCGTCCTCATCCACGATGCCACCTCTAGCAACGTTGATCAAGACAGCCTGAGCGGGCATCATGCGTAGCTCCTCGACCGAGATCAGGTTAATAGTGTCCGGACTTCGCGGCAAGCAGAGAATTAACACCGTGGACTTCCCCAATGTATCTGCAAAAGAAACTCGACCTGGCCGCGGAGTAGCCCCCTTCCGCTCGGCCACTATCACATTCATCCCAAGCCCGCGAGCCAACGCTTCGATGCGCTTCCCTAACGATCCGTACCCGATGATTCCCACAGTCTCATCGCGGCACAGCAACGGTGCCTTTCCATCTGCGGTACGGAGTCGCCTGTGAATCGAGCCATTCATTTTCCACTCCGTGTCCCGAGTCGTGTCCACAGGAACCGCCGTCGTGATATTATTTAGATTGACTATTTTCCGCCGGGTGGCGAAATAGAGACCGATGGCATGCTCGCTGACACTGTCCACATTTGTGCCGGGGCAGTAACACACGGTGATGCCTCGAGCGTTGGCGGCAGGTTTGTCGACACAATCTGTGCCACTTGCCATGATCACTATCAGGCGGAGTTTCGGGGTGATTTGGGCGCTCAGAGTCTCCGCCGACAGTCGAATTGTGGTGGTTAAGATGATTGTGGCACCTTTGACGCGAGAAGCGAGATCCGCCTCATTGGTCCAGCTGTACACGTCGAGAGAATATGGTTGGGCCAAGTCGAAGCTTGGAATCGGGCAATGAACAGCCTCAATGGCCACTACGTGGTGCTGATTGTTGTCCGTGACCATGACGGGTAACAAGAAGGCAAGTGCAATACTATAGCAGTATGGGATATTATCGCGAGATCTTGTCGCTAGACCCCTTGCGGATTATGATATACGTACATGGCGCAAACGAAGACATAGGGCGCAGAAACCCGCATGGCCGATCCTAACCGAAACAGAGAATGTCACAGGGCGCGGGATGAGATATCTCTCTGCCAGACCTTGATCTCTGTTATCGCTACGAAAAGCTGGTCTCCACGCCATGGACTCCATTCGGTCCGACCCTTCTAAACACTATGGATATTCTAATGATTGGTCAGTTCATGCCAGATCCCGAGGGGCTTTTCGGTTTCTCCTTCTCATCCCGAGGAAGCGAAATGCCGATAATTCAAGCTCTCGGATGTGTATAGTCTCTACTCTCTAGGAGTAGATCGGTCTAAAAAGTGCAACATGTGTTTCATATCCATGCCAGAAAGGACTAGCTTTGAAGCAATAGTTTCAAGGAATGCCATTAACATCATAGACTTATAAAATGCACTAGTGTACAAATATCTTCCCCTCTGACACAAAAGCTGCCTGACCAGCAAGTTCAATCTGCCGCACTGCATCCTTCTCATCATTCAACGTAACATCTATAATAATGTGACTTTCCCTTCCCATCTCCGAGCCCTGATTAATGTAAAGCCGGTGCTTCTGGCCCTTTTGGCTATTAGTTAGCGCAATATAAGCGCCTAGGGAGCAGCCGCCACTTCCACACGCAGGATCTTCCAAGTTAATGGCAATCATGCGCACACGAAGATCCCAAACGGTCATGTCACCCTCTATCCGAGTTTCCAGTAGTTGATAATACATAATACCGGTGAACGATGGCGCCCAACCCTCATCAAGCTCAAGCCCGGGGCTTGGCCCGGGGACAAGACCAGCGAAAAGATCCGCCCTCTCAGTTAAATCCACTAGTGCATACGTAACACCCTTGACCATGGAGACTACAGGAGATGTATCTCTTACGCCATGCAGATCCGATGCTGCCGCTAGAGTCGCCTGGACCGGGAGGATCCGGCTGAGCGTCGCTTCTTGTTGGTGAATGTGTATGTTATGGGGAACTCCTGCGGAGACGACGTTGCTGGTTGGGTCGTAAGATATTGCGACGGGCCCGGCCTTAGTAGTTACGGTCAAGTTAGTTGCACCGCTGGCATCGTTGGCTGATAACTCCCGGAAGAGCAGATGGCCTGTGCCAATTATCGGATGACCGGCAAATTCCATCTCATTAACAGGAGTGAAAATGTCCACCCGGGGACTTCCATTGTGGTCTGGAGGATGCAAGAAAACTGTTTCGGAGAAGTTGAATTCCCGGGCGATCTCTTGCTTTTGCTGCTGTGACAGTTTGTGATCGCCAGTCTTCACAATAGCGAGCGGATTCCCCTTGAATCTAAGCAGCTTGTTTAGCTACCGGTGGTCTAGAATGGTTATCTATACAGTAGTAGTTTGTACCTTTCCGATGCAAATACATCAAGTGTGACTAGCAGAAGGTTAGTTGGGGGAAGTTGTAATGGTGAGCTAGGGGCTTTCTACCATACGACGCCTGTTCGCTGGACATTGTGGGCTTCTGCACGAAGAACTGATTACTCCGAGTGATGCTATTGTCGGAGGACTTTAGATTGAAAGGCTGCGTTCCTCGAGTGTCTCAGTGTCGTGCGTCATGGTTGGAGGGCGTGGTTCTTCATATATGGGTGAGTGAAAGCCGGTTATTTTCGGGGACCCACCCACGCCCTGTGTAGTTAAAAAAATGAGTCAAGAGAGTGGTTATATCGCTTGTATGGATTATCCAGAGTTGAATATATGTAACTCAATGTATTACACTGATTAGAAAAGCCGTCAGCGATCTACCCACATATTCAACAATGGGTCTACTCAGAGCAACTTTGGAGCCCCTTCGTCTCATTTACGACAAAGTGGCAAAGGACGAGGTATACCTTCCACAGCAGACTGAGCCAAGCAGAGAATGGAAGACTCGCTCATAATAATAATCGATAGGAAGAAACAAACAATATGCCAATTACTTGCGCCCTTGATGGCTTTGATTTAGATATGAAGTCAGACATCTCGAGTAGTATGAAATGAAACAGGTATGTATAGGCAATGTACATTCTTGCAGCCAAGTTGCAATCTCCAAAGCTTAGAACACGTATAGTTGGTAGTGACGCCAACAGATGGTCCGTAATTACAGGGTGAAGGGCACTCTGCCTGTGGCAAAGTTAGGGTGTACAGATTAACACTGGGACTCCATTAGTAGAGATGCCAGTAGGGGGACCAGCTTATCCTACGTCTTAATAACCATGAACGAGTTGACCGGTCAGATCCGAAGACCTCGCTTGTTGTAGCATCTGGATCACAACTCTGCTCGTGCAGGATATAGGTATCTTTTCCAACAGCCACATACTGTGTCAAATCTGCCTGTTATAGGCCAGCAGAGGTCACGGTACAAACAGCCTAGGATGTGTGCAACTGCTGATTGCATTTTAACTGCGAGCTGGTCTCACACTTATGTTAGCCATTGTGGTCACGACCAAAGTAAGTGACCTTATAGGAGTAATTATGTTTTTCTAGTTTACACAAAGAGAAGGAAACAAGAAAGCTTGCGATTAGGCCTGTGTATACGCAATCTCATTGAATTTGGATTTAGGATATTATGATGAATGAGCCATACCTTATATTTACTGGGTGATTACTTCTGCAGAGCATACCAGGATATTCAAGCATTAATTTCTTCCTTGTATTTTGTCCTTGTAAACTATGTTAGTTTTTCGGTAGCCGATGCGTGGCTAAAGCTGCATGGCACTCATCTTGTCCCCAATCCTATTGGGCAAGCAACACACTTCCGATCAAGCGCGAAAGCATTTCAAGCTTGACCAAAAGCGTTGTCATCTTTATTCGTATACCAACCAGTTGGAGCGGGGAAGCTGTGGGATGTACATATGCTTGGCTGTCTTTTCTCGATATTCATCCCAGGCTGTCAGCTTCTTCTGTCATACCTAAAACTCGAATCGTAGCGGTGTTGTTGTACATCCATCACGAGCTACTTACTTGTCTCGAAAGACATTGGTTGAACTCGGCCACTTCGGATAAGAAGGATTCGGTTTATAACGGTGCAACATTGGTGAACTGTAATGATCTACATGCGCTGCATAGAACTTGGCTTGCTTTAACAAAGCGCCTGGGAGCATATAAACCCTCTAGGTCTGCTTATTCCTCACATCTCTCTGTCTTATAATCCATTCTATTGATTTGAGGACAAGAATTAGTCTGAAACATTTTGCCAATCAGCCCTTATTAGTACACATCTTGAAGAGTTCTATATTGCTCTTGCACATATAATCTACATTAGCCAAAATGCTTACTTGGTTGTTTCTCATTCTAAATCTTCTTAACTTTGCACTGGGTGCTCCGTGGCAAGGAATCCGATCACACCAGAAGCCACTTGCTTGCCAGGTATGATGCCATGTTCAGAACCCGCAAGCCATACATACAAAGTCAAGCGTTTATAAAAGAGATTACGAAGTATATGGCTGACGAAGCATGTAGGATCGCTTCTCAGATGACGACTTTCTTGAACCCATCCAGGACAGATGCTACGCCCAACGCTACAATCCAGGAACATGTCATCGAGAAGAGATTCTAGTGCCCTATGACACTTGTTCAATCGTAGGCCCATCAACTATTGAGATCCTTGACTCACGCAAACCACATGACCATTTCCCTGGACAACGCTTCGCGGTTAGCCGCGAGGGTGACGACCAGAAAGTCAAATCGGTGATAACATTCCAGCCATTGATGAGCGGGGAAAAGACCTGTACTCTCGCGATTGAGATTCCTGCCATGCCAGAAGGTCAGTATGCTCAGGGCTTGACTACCATGGAGGTTTGGGCCGTGGATCGCCCTGAGAAGCCAACGTGGGATGACCAGCCCCACAAGGACCAGACCGTTGGAAAGGTCACCTTTCCTACATGGGAAGTACAACAGGGCTGGCTGCAGCGCTTTATGCCTCTTGACTGTGAAAAGCAGATGAGCTACATGGTCGAGCTGAGCTATCCTAAGGGTGATGGGAATGTAGTCTTCTGGAACCAGTTAATGGGGAAACAAGGGGCGCCGCCAATTGGCTGGAGAATGCTTCAGGGCGGGTGCTAGGTGACGGGATTTGGTTACTGGGTACTTTGGTCGGGTATTGGTGGGGGATAAGGAGGAGCTTGACTGATTGATTGTTGGGTTCTGGCAATTGTCTTTCAATATCTTTCGGGTGTGTTATTTCTCTTTACTTTTTGGTTGGCAGTCACAACCGATATGCCCCTTCCACTTACGGGCGAACGCTTGACATTCATTTTGTGTCTGGAAGCCGTTGTCAACAGTCGTTTTAGCTGACCACATCCTTCCTTACTAAATTGATGATGTCTGTCTTGAAAAGGAAGATCTGTTTAATATGTCAGATGGCCTAACTCCCATACAGGAATAACCTTGGACTAGACCATGTAGACAGGGCGAAACATAAATGGACTCAATGCAGACTAACGAGAAGACCAGGGCTGGGAATAGTAAAGCCCTAAACCAGAAGAAATAAGGACGAAAACTGACAAAATTAAAAAGCGGAGATTCAGTTTACAGTCATGAATACCCCAGCCCAAGCTAAGGGATTTAGGTCAGTTTTATGCTTGACCTAGGCCAAGTCTATTCCATCCTGGGCTCTAAATCCAATATTAGGGAGTGGGTCTGACGTCATTCGTGGGATATGACCGCAATGGGAAAAGGGCGCTAATTTAGTAGGAACTTGAGGTTTTCCCAGCAGGTATAACCGGCTCATTGGAGTACTATCAAGAGGCAGAAGGTTTTTTCATGATGGCAATAAGGCGTGAATTGCTACAGTGATATTTGCGCAGATATAATAGATCTATCGGTTGGTGTGGCCAGCTGGGCTGTTTCTTAAGTTCGTTGTGTGTTTGTAGAACTACTGTTTTGACAGGAGATGAAGTGACTCTGATGGCTTAATTAAGTATATCTGCGCCTTCAATATGGTAATTTTCCCTTTTGCTCGGTCCAGTTCCCAGAAGACATGTACATTCTATTGTAACACTTCATATCAAGGGGGAATGGCTCAGATATCGCTCCTGACAGAACACTCTTGCTACTACCGAGCTATATGACTGCCTGTACGGAGGCTTCTCAATAAAGGTTCAACACAAGTACGACTTAGTGCCAAAGGCATGATGGTAATATTCGAGCTAGTACAATATGCACACCATGATATCAATCAATCACTCCCTGTGATCATTCAATCCTTCCACATCGTTCCACCTGTAACCCCCATCGCAAACACATTTTAGTGGAAAATAGCCCAGACGGGACCTAAAGAAGCAATCAGCATGCATCCCCAAAAGGACGCCAAGATCGAATTACGACTTACCCTGTCCATTGTAGGTAACACTCTTGCAATCATCACAAGTAGCAACATTGTTGTCCCAGCATCCCTTGTCCTTGAAGATGGACATCATCTTAGAACCAGTGTCGTGAGCCTGGAAGGTGAACTTTCCATTGCCGTTGACTGGGCCGATACACGAGTTGTCGTTGGCATCGCCAGTGTCGGTGCATGTTCCCTGGGGGCCGCACAATTGGACATAGCCGGCAGACGCGGTAGCGACGAAAACGGAGAGAACGAGGCTTTTGAACTGCATCTTGGAGGTGGATAGAGTTTCTTGGGAGGGTGAATAATTGACAAGGTTGATAGATCGTGTTGGTAAATATTCGTGTTTGGGGAGAGATAGGAGCCCGGTTTTATATTCGAGGGATAGGGAGCTAATACGTCCTAAGATATGCCGACACTAGGAGGGATTTGGAGATTCTGCCTTGGACACGTGTGTTCCAACTCAAGTGCAATGAGTTTTACCTCGGAGTTCATCTCCATGTGCGTATACGCAAGATGTTTCAGGGGGAGTACCGCATTTCCCATGGACGACGACGTTGATGTTGGGGGCTAGATGTACAGTGGATGTACAGTGGACCTTCTTGGGTTGGTTATGTTACTACATGCCGAGCCTCTATTATACAAACCGTCGGCATTCCAGTCGTGCCGAGAAGCATTGCCACTACCCCATAGAACGAATTCATCCGTTGATTAGTCCGTAGTGTTTCTTCAGTTGGGGGCCGAAGCCAAGGTGTGGAGACGGAAGCCGGGATGGTAAGCGCACATCACCTAGGCGAGGGTTGGCATGCGAAGATCCTGGTCGAATAACTAGAGAATCAAAGATCTAGAGTCTGGAGTTTGGATACTCTGGCGTATAAACGCAACTAGGGTCTTGGGTCTCTACGGAATCTACGGAATCTACGGAATCTAAACCAAGGCTGGTTAGCTGTATGGGGTATTAGCTGACACCATTCCCCTTTGGGTTGTTGTATGCATGCCTACTTGGTCCTAGTGCTGCGGATCTTTCCTTTCTTAGGAAAATGTGAGTGCTGGCTGTGCCTGAAGCGATCGCTGCTTTTACCTGTTGTGGCCCCGACTATCAAACGATAATCCACCATTGCCAACAACTCCAGTTGAACACAGATCAGTTGAAAAGTTGGCACTGATGCTCCACCGGAGACCCCGGGAGACGAATTATCTACTGATACTCCTTATATCACCACGCTTGATCTGGGGGCCAAGCTGCGACCGAGCCTTTTAAGGAAAATGGCTACGTTAATATGGAGTAGCAGTAAACTGTTACTTTGCGTCATACATAGAGGAGTGATTGTCGCCTAAATTCTAGGCAGAGAGGAGATATACGCTTTAACAGGACCGGCCATTGATCTAGACAGTGTTCTCCAATTGTCCCATGAGACCCTACCAATAAATTCGCGGCAGAGCGTAGCGTAGCATTGAAGCAATATACGTCGTAGGATCTGGGGTCTGGTTGGTTGAGAATGGATTCTTTACATCATTTCTGGCATAGTAAGTGCCTCCGAGGTCGGCAGTATTTTATTACTATATCAGAACCGCTTGAACTGCTTGAACTGCATATTAAAGTGCCAGCAGCCTTGCAAGCTGTCAGTGACTTGACCGGCTGGCAGCCCCTCGTAGTACTAGTAGTGAAGACGAGTGCACGTTTTGCTTCAACAATTTCATCATGTCGGTTTGGGTTAGCTGGTCCATCAATAAAATCAAGGTACAGGATCACGGCATGAGGAGAACTGTATTTTCTTTATTCTGTAGAAATTATAAGTTTAGTCTATCTATGAACAGCCAGAACCCTCCCTCCTGGTCAGATGCGTTAGACATTTCTTGGGTCGACTCTCTACTGATCTAATAGTAGTCATAAATACATATTGTTATCGAGGCAGCGACAAGCCCTAAGCCAGGCGACACCATCACACACTATGGTTTGACAATGGAGAGGATAACTATCTGTCAACCATAACATACCGGCAGCAGTATTTAGGCCACCAGATAGAAAAACTACGCCTTATGATAATGTCAATTTGAGCTTTCATAAATATGCCCAAATTACTAAGCGAACTAAGCGATAACTACGGAAGTTCTTCCTTTCCACACTATCAGAGCAACAATCCTTCAACATTTTATGGAGCACGACAATCTATATAGGACCTCTGCTACTTTGTACAGTGTAGTTAGAATAGTTAGCCCTTAGCTCCTCATGTCAATGACATTTTTTCTTGTGAACATTCACATGTGTGAGCAGCAACATCTACTCTTTATCTACCATCATGCCTCCTGAAAGCTACTAGCTTGTGTGCTAAAAGCTCTGTTGATACACAATAGACACGTGAGGCATTGTAACACGGCGCTAAATGACGAGTTTTCTCCACCCATGTGTGCCTGTTGCGGTAATTTTCTTTTCATTAAACACTTACTTTGGGTGGTTATAAAGTGGAAATCCTTAACTAGTATCTTTCACAAAGTTCCCTGCTTGAAGGCCGCCAGCATCGAGTAATATGAAGGGAACATTTCCTGGGCATGGTCAATCACTCTTCAACCATGGTTGTTGTACAGACCTTAGTGGATTGCACATGGCATTGCCTCCATCTGATCGAGCTCAAATCTACGGTCAATTCTCTGTATATATCTGGAGCCCGAGACTTGGCATCAAATGGTGTGCCATTTCACTAGCTGGATCAGTTCATTAGCCTGCATCATCTTGGAGCGGAGGCAAAGGTAGAGCAACTCCAGGCATGATCATGACTCCTGCGGTGATAGGGATAAAAACACAGAAGGGGTATCTACTTACGTGTATCTGCAGAAATATTATCATTATCTCTCTTTGGGTCGCCCTTGACTGAAATAGCAGTAATGCGATAGCTTCGAGAATATTTTCGGAGCATTACATGCTTAACAAGAGATTCTCAACCAATTAGTACTTAGAGAAGCTCCTCAAGTACTTCCGGTCTCTTGACAGAATACTGGCCAATAAGACGTTAACATACATTATTCCCTAAAGGGATAAAGGGGTTTGTCGCGCACCTGATGGTTGGGAATCCTATCCTCTTTGAGGGGCCATACAGCAGAAGGCGCATAACACAGATCCCTCGGCTTCAAGATGTTATCCGGCAACTGTCTATTGTGCGGCCACTCAACACAAAAGCTCTTGGCTTTTGTATTTACTTGAGGTACATATATGCTCGGAGCTTGCAAGGTAGCACTTAATGTGCACATAGAAGCTCAGCACTCAACTTATTTATCTGTGGGTGGGCGACTGATGATACTAGGGGAATGTCCTGGATCTAAAGGACAAAATGAGAGCGCCCCAACGGCTATGATTCTCATTCAGGATCTGTAAGTTGACCCCAGGACATATTGCATTATTTCGACACCTTTGATGAGCTAATTTCAAACCAAAGTAACAGTTAATGTCCCTAAAATCATTCATGGCATTTGTATTTGTTGATCTTCCTCTCAAATGGCCGGTGACTCTGCGCTATCAATCCGTAGATGTCGACACGGCTGAAGCTCACACCGTCCCACGTGCCCCCACGGGATGGATGAATGGGAGCCAGATATGCTCTATCCCTATAACACAATATAGATCGAATGAATTTTTCCAAGACCAGGTGCAACGATACTGCCCTGTGAATCTGACACCTGACCTGGCTATCTCTTCTGCTACATCACGGGCGAACGAGTCTTCCGGCTAATACTTGAAACAATGATATTATAATCTTCATAGACTGCGGTATTCGCTGCACTCGAGACGGCATGTGAGTCCTAGTCATTTTGTTTTCTAGGGAAAACAGGGAAATTAAGGATGGCGGAGAAAGCTGAGATGAACAAGCAAGCTGGGGGAGTTCACCGAGGCGGCGTATTGACGCTAACGGTTGTGCCTAGCATAAGGCCAACCAGCCGGCACTTGGAATGTTTGCTGACGCTCGAGAGCAAAATTACAGGCCATAACTGGAGAGGGCTGGTGGATTCTTGCAACAAACCCCGTGCGGTAAGGAACAACACTGGATTAACCAAGAAACCCGACGTCAGCTCAGAAACGCCCTTTCGTCCTTATAGTCACACATATTGGTTCTACCGAAGCATTTTGTTGATCGAACTGAGTGAATCAGGCATCTTCAGGTGGAATTTGCGTCCTGGGAATTTGGTTAGTGAGCACAGAAGCAACACTTCATGTGATAGGGTGGATCATCTTCCCTGGGTTATTATATTCGGCTCGGTCACTGTCCGGTCGGCTCGGAGTCGCCAAGACTAGGGAATAGGGCCGACTTGGAAAGCTGCCTACCTGGATGGGCTCACCGAGCTGGTGGTATGATCGGAATCTCAATTGCTAAAACGCTTTGCATTACAACGCTAGTTGTGAATGATCATACTACCCACACAGACTGCCTTGGAGACTTATAGAAGAGTGTTCTGGAAAGAGCGAAGTGGTCTGGTCTCTAGACAAGCTTCAAAACTCGGTCAGGACCGTGTTGTGGGATGACCTCGAGGGCGCACGTACAGTGCGAGCGCCGGAGATAGCTCCGAGCCGAAAAGAGGCCCCGGCTTTGGACAGACCCCGTGGGGCTGGCTTTCGGCCATTCTGAGAGGCTCCCAAGGTCCAACCTAAGGCAGTGGTCACCCCGCAGCCTGGCCGCTAAGAGTTCGTCGAGTCAGGGTTCCTGTGTACAATATTGAGGCACCCTGGATTTCTCTTCGCTGCTCCATCAGAGGTTGTACAGCGACATTCATAGATATGCTTGGAAATTGTCTTCTATATAGCATGTTCCGAGCCCGATGAGACAGGAGGATAGCAATCCTACCGAGAGGGCTGGAATGGGGTATACCGGGGTATGTGGGGGGAGGAAAACACACCAGAGATATTTCCCCGATATTCCTCCGCATTGGCCTTTGCCGGCGTTGAGTATCCCCACATTCCGAGTCAGGGAATCATTCTGTCTATCCCCAGTTATCAAAGGGACCATGACGTGACGATGCAAGAGGAACACACTCATGGCTATTGGAATCAGTGCGGGAATTTCCCCGGTCCACATCCAGGACCTTTCGTTAGTGTCGAATCCAGTTCTTCCATCGATGAAAGGGGTAATGAAGACGAACCTTGCATGGTACTGCAGCTACAAAATGATTGGGGGAATTATTGCGGCATCAGTCGCTTTTCATGCTTCCCCGCGACTATTTAAATGCATGGATACCCATCCTTTCCGGGGCCTCAGATCGTCTCGTCTACAGCGCAAATCACCTTTTAAGTCAAGATGTTTGGCTCCCCAAAGCGTGCTGCTTTGGCAGCCGCAAGTCTTCTGACTGTCTTCGGAAACGGCCCATCAGTCATGGCACAGGAAACTGCAAGCAGCAATGGTAAGCGGAACCACATAAGCTCATCCTGTATCGCACTCTTCCAAGCTTCACTCCCAACTGACACATGTACAGCTGTTGTCGCGGATGGCAAGACCTTCGCCCTCAATGGAGAGAACGTCTCCTACCGCTTCCGAGTGAATGAGACCACCGGCGACCTGGTGTCAGATCATTTCGGTGGCAGCATCACTGGCGATATCTTCCCAGGACCGGGTCCCGAGGCACTTGGCGGCTGGGTTGGTTTGGCTGGTCGTACTCGCCGTGAATTTCCAGATCACGGCCGAGGAGACTTTCGGATTCCCGCCGTTCGGATTCGCCAAGAGGCAGGCTACACCGTGACAGATTTGCAATATCAATCGTACTCGGTGATTCCGGGGAAGCCTGCTTTGCCCGGCTTGCCGGCAACCTTTGGTAGCGAGGAGGATGTTACGACTTTAGTGGTACATCTGTACGACAACTACAGCTCCATCGCTGTGGACCTGTCGTACTCCATCTTCCCTAAATATGATGCCATTGTGAGGAGCGCGAACGTTACGAACAAGGGTACCCAAAATATCACAGTCGAGGCACTGTCTAGTTTCAGCTTTGATTTCCCCTATGAAGACCTTGACATGATTAGCCTCAGGGGCGACTGGGCGAGAGAAGCCCACCGTCAGAGACGGAAGGTGGAATACGGTCTCCAAGGGTAAGTCTCTGTTCACCAAGCCGATGATGGACGCAGAGAATTAATGTCCCCTCCGTAATATACAGCTTCGGAAGTAGTACTGGTTTCTCCTCCCACTTACACAACCCCTTCCTTGCGCTAGCGCATCCCTCGACAACTGAGTCTCAGGGCGAGGCCTGGGGGTTTTCCCTTGTCTACACGGGCTCTTTCTCGGTTGATGTCGAGAAGGGTTCCCAGGGCCTCACCCGTGCTCTTCTGGGATTCAATCCTAGTCAGCTGTCCTGGCAGCTGGGTGCTGGCGAAACACTCACCTCTCCGGAATGTGTTTCAGTCTACTCAAACGACGGTGTCGGCGGCATGTCTCGTTCATTCCATCGCCTCTACCGCAACCATCTGATCAAGAGCAAGTTCGCCACATCGGACCGCCCAGCGCTGCTTAACAGCTGGGAGGGTCTGTATTTCGACTACAATGAGAGCACAATCTACCGCCTGGCGGAAGAGTCGGCTGCTTTGGGAGTGAAACTGTTCGTGATGGATGATGGCTGGTTCGGCGACAAGTACCCCCGTGTATCGGATAACGCCGGTCTGGGTGACTGGGTGCCCAACCCGGACCGTTTCCCTGACGGTCTGAGCCCGCTGGTGGAAAATGTCACGAAGCTGAAGGCAGCAAACTCATCCACTGACCTGCGCTTTGGTATCTGGGTTGAACCAGAAATGGCCAACCCCAACTCGACCCTGTACCACGAACACCCTGACTGGGTGCTCCATGCCGGCCAATACCCACGCACTCTGCAACGTAACCAGCTCGTTCTCAACCTTGCTTTGCCTGAGGTGCAAGACTATATCATCGACTCCATTACCAACATCCTCAACAGCTCGGCTATTTCCTACGTGAAGTGGGATTTCAACCGGGCGATGCACGAGACACCCTCTCCCAGCAACGACCACGAATACATCCTGGGCATGTACCGGGTGTTCGAAACCCTGACCACGCGCTTTCCGGATGTTCTGTGGGAAGGCTGTGCCTCTGGTGGTGGACGCTTCGATCCTGGTGTCCTCGAGTACTTCCCGCAGATCTGGACCTCCGACAACACCGATGCCCTGATGCGCATCACCATCCAGCTCGGTACCTCTCTGGCATACCCACCCAGCGCCATGGGTGCCCATCTCTCAGCGGTCCCGAACGCACAGACCGGACGTACCATTCCTGTCAAATTCCGTGGTCACGTCGCCATGATGGGTGGATCATTCGGTCTCGAGCTCGACCCCGCCGAGCTGCACGAGGACGAGAAGGCTGAGGTTCCCGGACTGATCGCGCTGGCAGAAAAGGTCAACCCAATCGTACTGACTGGCGATATGTGGCGTCTCAGGCTTCCTGAGGAGTCCAACTGGCCAGCGGTGCTATTCATCTCCGAGGATGGCAACCAAGCCGTCCTCTTCTACTTCCAACTCGGCCCTAATGTTAACCATGCTACTCCCTGGATCAGGCTTCAGGGGTTGGATCCCAAGGCCACGTATAGCGTTGACGGCAGTGGAGCGTACTCGGGTGCGACATTGATGAACATGGGGTTGCAGTATAAGTTTGAATCGGATTATGATAGCAAGGTTGTATTCTTGCAGAAGCAGTGATGAACCTGATGATGTGATGTTCATGAGGGTAATTATTTGTGTGTAGATAGTGAATGGAAACTTAATATTTTTTTTCCTCTCCAGTACTCTAAGGTTTTTTGGGAAACTACCAGCTAGATTCGATAAGAGTTTCCAGAAGGATGCTCTTATTATGCACTCCACACTGCGCAATGGTAACCAACCTGAAGCTACGGCTAGCCTGCATCTAAAATATTGGAAAATAGCTAATTTAAAAAAGCACATGCTGAGAAAGCAAGCTCGAACTCCCAGTCATCAGGACCAGCCTGCTCCCCGTTCCCAATATCAACAATACTCTGAACTCCACATGTCCAGTTAGGAAAGTATTGATGCACTACCTCAGGTACAACAGAGATAAATTTCAGCTTCCCGCTGCACAGGCATGAATCATGCTTATATCAAACGCTACATCTTGCCCTGCACCCAACAGCTCTATCACTGTTCCAGACCCGTCACGCGACAAAGCATACGCGAAAGAACACACCGGGTTCGCTGACCGGTAGACAGCCCGTTGGTGGTCTGGCATACGTTCCGCGTTCCCTTTCGCAGAACCAAAATAGTACTTATGCGGATATGCAGTAGGGTCCTCGTAGAAAACTGTCTCGAACGAGTCCTCCCAGTATTCGCCGCAGTGTCCCGATTCAAAGAACGTCCCCGCCACAGCCATGTGCAGCTGTCTCATTCTCAAGGGTTTTAATCAGATTGCGGACGCTCTCTACGGTTTGCACCATCTGGGAGAGAATTTTTACGTCTCAGTCTGCATCGTCTTCAATTATCAGGGCAGTATCAGGTCCAGTGGAAAGAGCAAGAATAGTTTGGAACTAAGATGTGATTGATCGGTCTGCCGATGGGGAATAGAGATTCTCAGGAGTAGAATGATATGTACACCTAAGGTGGCATTTCTGGCGCGCTGTGTGGGTGGGCACTGCGGTCGGCTCAGGTGGTTGTACAACTCCGGTTGTTTAAGCCAGAGGACCTCCAAAGATATACCAAGATAGTAAAATAAGGCTGAACCCCGTTCCCAGATAGAGGCATCGACGTGGAGCGACCAACAACGTTCATCTTGTTCGCAAACCATCCAGGAAGTTGTAGCAGCGGCCACGGTATCGTGAGTCGGGGGGTAGGTGCATTAAAGGACCTTTAGTGAATGACAATATCCTGAAAATCCTCCTGCAGATCAAGATCCTCAAACCTCTAGCTGCATGGAATGGAATCCAATGGGACTTCCTCTTTCTCGCCGGGCAAGCCCCTACCAGCTAATTTCTTACAAAGTAGTTCTTTGTCTGACGATGCCTTCATCCGTGCTATCTCGGGCATTATAAAGTCACACAACCCTCGCTTAGTCCACTCCTCGAGCACTTAGATGCAGTTGACTTGTTGCTGAAACTGCCCACCTGAGGTTGGATTGATTGGATATGTTTCCAAAACATCTGTTTCACCGGACAGGAGATGAAAGACACCAACTTTTCCTAACCTCAGCCTAGCAGGGATATTTGATAACCATGGTAACATGGTAACCCCTCAGATGGAACAGTGTCCCCATGATGGATTTAGGACTCTGAGCATCCTGATCTCACTAGGAGCAATAACAGGTTTCTGGTTTACCCTCCATTTTTTCATGAGCGGATATGTCTTTGTTCCTGGATCTGTCACGTTAATATGCACACTCGCTCCACCGAGCCGATCTAAGAATTTGCGTGCTAATTTTACGTGACCATTGCCAGCATGTTAAAGCTGCTCCTGACATCATTTCTTCTGGTCCAACACTCGGTTCAAGCAGAGCCGGGAAGATTCTACAATCCCCCAGCTGGGGGCCCTATGCATGTCTACAAGGACAATCCAGTCTACGAGCTTGAACAAATGGTTCAGCTAAGATGGGCAACCACTTTAGAAAGCATCTCCATATTGTTATGCCAAAACGATAATCCCTATTTTGAATGGCTTCAAAGTAAGTCGTCGTTCACTACCGCATAATGACTTCCTCATATTTCGACCTGACGGTAGATCACAGCAAATATATCAGATGTTACAACATTTACCTGGATCGTATCGACCCAGCGAAGCCTAGACGATGGTAATGTTTTCTTCTTCCAGATCCGAGATGCCGATGAGCCGGAGACCCCGGGCTTCTTTGCTAGCCGTTCCTTCAATATCACTAAAAGGGCAAAAGATTCAACAATAACAACGACAACGCTGTCATTACCATCATCATCGTCGTCGTCGTCCACAACGACGTCAGTTAGCTCAACACCGAGACCAACTAGTGAGGCATTGACACCAACAAGAAGGACCTTCACGCCAGCTAACATAACACCGACAACAACTCCAACGTCAATATCAACATCATGCGACGCCCTTACCACATCAATAACTTCGTTAATCTCCACCACATCACCCGTTCCATCCTTCCATTCGAGCAACAACGGTGCAATATCACCACCAGCAAAATTGGGGCTTGGTGTTGGCGTTGGACTCGGATGTACATTTCTACTGACCCTTACAATTGTTCTCATGTATTTCAAGCTGCGAACGAGGCGCCCTCAAGCCGACAGGGCTCAAAACTACCTCTTGGGAAGCACTCTAGTCACAGATAAATCATACATCTGCAAACCTCGACCGGCCCGTCTAGTCGAAGTTCCTGGACGTCAACTTGAACATCATGAGCTGGCATCGTGACATACTATTCACCCGCAGACTGATTTCTCCTAGTATTACTACTTCAGGCCAAATATATGGTTTTAGGTTTTACATGAGCTAGCCTTGGTGAAATCGCACGACTAAACAGGGGGCTGAGGATATATTGGTAAGAGGCAGCAAGTAGTATTCTTGGGACTTGCCTGACGGGGCTCTTACTTTCACAGGGATTACAATTGTATGGCTTTTATGTTCATAACTTCTCAAGCTGAGTCTGCATTCGTGATGGTACAGGTGGGATGACCCGTACCGTTGGTTTGGTTTCCAGGGTTTGGGAGCGCACGAGCCATGCCTTACATCAACTGCCATTGCCACTGTGAACCAGGTCAGAAGACTGCCTCCTTTTATTCAGCCAAACTTCCTGCATATTACTGTCTTCTTGTAATATCAACGGAAGATAGATTCATCCTAGCTATGGTACACATCCCTGCGACTCGTACCTTTTCGCAGGCAGTACGCTCAAGCTCCTCCTCTCATGAACTGTTTCCCTGAGCAAGAAGCCTACGGGCATGACTTCGTGACTCACCACGATCCATCTAGCTTGGAACTAGTTGTTTTTTGATTATCCTGAACATAGGCAGTCTCGACAGTCCTCTGTGTCATCATGAGCGACAGCAAAGGATGCAGAAGCACATCCCATGACTCTGTTTATTTGGCCGAATACTACGATCTCCAGGCCAAGGCAGATGTCACGACCTTGAACGCTCAAGGTGATGCCAAAGTCTATCTATCGGCCCTGGAGAGGCAGATGGAATCGTACTACCCCCTTGATCACCACGGAGAACATCTTGTCGTCCTGGATGTCGGCACAGGTACCGGGCGTGTGCTAGCCAATCTGGCCACAGATGCCGTTCGGGACGGTATTCCTCTGTCCAATGTCGAGTTCATCGGGGTTGACAAAGAGCCTTCGATGATCCATCGTGCATTGGCTGTACAGCGGGAGACGCCGAGCATGTCGCAAGTCGGTCGCATTGATTGGCTAGTCGGAGACGTCCTCCATTTAATCTCGGCAGAACTGCTCGAAACCCACATCAATCAGGTTGATTTACTCCTATCCGCGTCTGGCAGTGTCAGTCTTCTTTTCAGGGCTGGTGAGCTCATGAGGTTTTTCGCTCAGGCTGCCGCGCTGCTTCGGCCGCGGTCGGGACGTTTCTACCTATCTGTGAAGAAAGATCTAATATCAACACAAGCTACCACAAAGCCAACAGATGAAAATGCGACAGATGCAGGGTTGTGCGAACGACATGAATTTCCGAGTGAGCTCTACGAGGGTATTGTCTACAGGCAACTGCCGACTGAAAGTCCAGCCTTAGACGGTATTATCAAGAGGACTCCCTACCAGTTGCAGGTGATTAGGCGGACTGATGCCGGTTGTGAAGAGGTTATAGAAGAAAATCATATTGAATGTGTGCAAAGGATCTGGAAAGAGACGGAGCTCTTGGAGTGCTTTAAGGAGGCGGGTCTGGAGAGTGTCGGAATCATCCAGCTTCACATGAGACGCACTATGTTTTGAAACAGGCCGAATGACGAATATTCACTTTGAAAATTTGAAAAGCCTTTTCCTCCTTGTTGCCTTTATTTCCTTCGCGGCACGGTGTTATCGCTTCCTTCCTCTCCTCTTTCTCTCACGGGCCGTGAAGACCCGACTTCAACACCACGTCGATAACTGACTTGTCCTGATCTCATTGGCTTCATCGATTATACTGGCGCAGGCTCCATTGACGTACTTCTTTTACTTGCTTGATACCGAGAATGCTATATGTGTTGCAGATGAAGCTCCCAGCATTGGCTATGGGGGGGGCCTTGAGTGCTCCCAACAAAAGAAAAAAACGGTTATGCCTATGGTCAGGTAGAGGGGAAAATAGGTATAGGGTATATAATTCGTCATCAGAGAATGAACAACACCTGCCCAAAAAAATCCACCTTAAATTTGTGTCGAAGTGTAGTCCATGGAGAATGTCATAGTCACTATATATATCTTCGAGCAAACAAACAGCAACGTCGGCGTTCGACCGCCCGGGTAGCAACAACACTGGGAAACGCGTTTAGAAACGGGTATAGGTTCTAACGAAAGGATGTACCAAGGTTGCGTGAAAAATATGGATCTCTATGAGCTGCATTGTGTGAAAGGTGGTTCAGCCACGTCGAAATCAAACACATAGGATGCCGTAAGTTACCATAGCCTTCCTTTAGGCTCATGTAACATAAAATTACCATGGAATTTCAACAAATGGTCCCGTAACTCAGTCGGTTAGAGTGCTGAGCTAATAACTCAGAAGTCGAGAGTTCGAGCCTCTCCGGGACCATTTCTTTCAGCATCATTGGTCTAGTGGTAGAATTCATCGTTGCCATCGATGAGGCCCGTGTTCGATTCACGGATGATGCACGACTTTCGCTCCTATGGCTCAGTTGGTAGAGCGCATGACTAGTAATCATGAGGTCCGCGGTTCAAATCCGCGTGGGAGCAGTTTCTTTTTGCTTTTTCATCTCCATTCGGTTTCATTCTCTTTCGGGCGGCGGGTTCGTTCCCTCTTGCCTACCAGTCGTATACAGCCTTTGGTCTGAAGCCGCTGCCTAACAACAAGCTCAGGATACCATAGTCCTACTGCCTAGCAACCGTACCTTTGTGGAAATGGTTCGAGTCATTAAAATATATCCACATTATCATTGCATGGTATCTTAAAAACACATAGCCTCCCCTCGCCCACAATCTACTCCACCTCCAAGCGCATCTTCACAGAGCATTCAATCTCACAACTCTCCGGCACAAAACTCAAGGCCTGCTCACCCCCCGACTCCGCAAATGCAGGTGCTCTCCGAGCGGAAGCAAACATCATTGGCGAAGCGTGTCCCTGAGAATCGTCGATCTCAACGGGTCGAAGAGTACTCATGTTCAGCGCACCAGCGTAATCCTTGGCCTTGGCGAGCGCGTCCCAGACCGCGAGTTTCCTGCACTCCTGTCCCAGCTGCTGCTTTGTATCGTCCGTCAACTGCCAGTCGACGTCCCGCACCGAAACCAGGGCGTCCTTCGCCACGTCTGACACGAACTCGCCCAGTTTGCTGAAGTCCCGGAACTTGACCTCGAAGTTGGTGCGGGCGGTGTAGACCCGTGCTCTGTGTTCGCGCCTGTCGTGGTCCCAGGGGAGATAGCTACCGGTGCTGATGGAGCTCATGCTCCAGAACGTAACGGGGGCTTCGGGGGTGGGGTCGCCGGATGCTTGCTTCGGTGCGATCTCTTTTAGGAGGGATTGAAGGCGGTTGGAAGTGCGAGTCACGTCTTGAGACACCGTAGACTGGTTGTCTCCTTCGCTGGAAACATCGAGATTAATCACGGCGCGTTCGGCCTGACGGTGGAGGGTGGAGGTTCCGACGGTGTGGATTGTGAGACCCATGGTGAACGATTAGATGTGGATGTGGATGTTTTGGAGGATCAAAAGGGTTACAAGCCGAGTGTGAGGTCGTTAGAGTGTCGTTAAATATTTATCCAGCAGCTGAAGTGTGGCGAGGTGCAAAAGAAGTTGTTACCTAACTGCTGGGAGGTAAGCTAGGCAAACACATGTACGATTGCGGGACATGTGGAGGGGCGATGATTTGTGGTGGAGCCCGTATCAATCCTAACTTAGCAGCGTCTCTGCTTGGCACCTGGTCGTGTTACATCGTGTCCTTCAGACCAGATTGAATTTGTCGGCATTAACTGAGCTGAAGAAACTCGAGATTAAGTGGGTCAATTCGGCGATAGTTGGACTTTTAGCTCCAGGCGCTAAAACCACGACCATGAGATTATTGGAACAGGCCCCCGAAGATCATTAATGTTCGAAGCGTGAGGAACTATTGAATCTGCCTCGATGAAAGCTTCACATTCGCTTCGCGTGATTCGTGCTGTATTGTATCTGGCTGTATGGCTCTCCGTCCATAGTGACACACTCGCTGATGGGTTCTCCTTGACGCGCTCAAACGGCGCCCGGTGAGGAAGCGAGGGATATCCCCTGTCCAGGAAACAGGATATAGGCCGACCCAAGCAATGAGCTCATCGCTCGGCTTGGTATAGGCCTTCAAACCGGTGTGAGATGCGTGTGAGAAGTGTGCGAGGCGGGCGCGAGGTACCCGCAGGTGGGACTATATCAGCCTCAGTGGCGAGCTCGGCTGGCTTCGGAGGAAGTGGTGCAACAAGATTCGATCGTGTTTCGTGGCTTTTTCTTCGAGCAGAACAGGGGCTCTGATGTCACACCCAGCGAAGGGGCGATGGTTGAAGCGCTATCGCGATGCAACAGAGAGGCAATTGCGGAGGAGGTTGAGATTCCCCACCTTTATCACATAACCATCAGAGCTGCATATGACCCCTTCCAGGATTATTCGGACTCCTGTGTATGACCTGAGACAGCGAGACTCATTGTGGTGTAATAAGTACCATATGTCCTCTTTCTCTCCCTCGTTTTTCAATCTCAGGGTTGGTCAGACCACGAATTTGGGATACATGCGCCGGGTAACATATCGGCGCTCACTCCAATCGGGAAATAGGTGTAAGACTCTGAGGAAGTCAGAGAAATCTCCTGGCCGCAGCTTCTCACCGCTTGACTTGATTCTGGAGTGGTTCGAGGAGATTAATGAGGATAAAACGGGAGAGGCTGGGCGGGAGATCTCTCAATTTATACAGTCCGTTGGATCTATCACAGGCCATGCCGGTTAGATATGATCTGTTCATTGCAGGATACGAAAGCCTGCAAGGTGAAAATAACCTACTGGTATACTCTCGCCTAGAGAATGCTGATCTTGCTTCTCCTGAACGGTGCGGCTCAACCAGAAACTAGTTATGCCTGGTCTTGTTATGGGATATCCCTAGTTCTTCACCTCATTGTGATCTGGTCTAGCCCGGGGTTGTTATGTGACATGTCGGTTCCGCAAATCTCTGCTTCTATGCAGATCCAGTGCTCGACGATCTGCGGTCACGTATATCCCATGTGTGCAAGGAGTTTGGGACAAAAGATGAAAGGGTCCAATAGTTTAGTGAATTAGAACGTCATCCAAGCCCCATCATACCTTACCCAGCTCTTCTAACGGATGCCTTGACATGGTAATGCGCACCTCGACCCTAGTTTTCCGCAAGTTCCGTTCTTGGCTAGGATATCAGTGCTTTCTTATCGCAACAGACAGACAGTGGCGTAGTTTTCTATGCGGAGAAGCTGTGCCAAATTCATTGGGGGCGCATTGGAGGTAGACGTGCGTATCATCTGTCGAGGTGTTGGTCCGTTTTTGGTCTTTCGATAGAGCCGGAGTTTGCGATTCACCGCACCGAAGTATGCATGCACATACCCTAGGCGGTTCTCGAAATCGCTAATGGCATTCCTCGGCAACGTTCCACGCAAGGACTTTATCTTTCCCATAAGCGAAGTGAGACTCGGCACAGGGGAAGTTCCTAGGTCGATCTTCAACATATCTTAAGATGGAAGGTCGATCAAGGCACGTAGTGCCCCCTGCAAAGGAGAGAGAATAGGTGCCGCTCTTAGCGCCCAGCTCAATCTCAGTCTTGTCTTGGAATTTATTATGTTCAAATCCCGGGGTTGTGCATTTCTTGGCATTGCTGAAGACCCGAATTGTCCGCCATTTATTGAAAAGCTTCCACAAACTGGAAGCACAAAAGTACCTAGAGGCGTACCGGTACGTACATGCTAATCCGCCATGAATCATGGACGATCAATAGCAAAGAGTCCTTTGTCCTGGAATTATCCCAAAGAATCAGTGCAAACCTTCGTGTTTGTTTGGTCGACGAGAGCTTCACAATGGCTATCAGCAAGCTGTGGGAGAGACATATATCGCGGATGACATAATTTGCATTCAATTTGCCTAACATATCAGCTGTTCGCCAGTATTTGACCATGACTCTTCCCTGGGAGCTTCGGGGAGCATTATCGGGAATCCGATATCGCACGCTTGATATCACCGCTGCGTCCTGCGATGAAAGTGGGCCGCTAATGGGCCTCAACGGCGAACGAACTACCCCGTAGTCGACAATCTAGTGGTATGGCCAGCCCTAATACATTCGTGTATGCATCCAACGCGGATATAACTGACTTTTGATTTCTAAGCTGGTTGCAAAGTTCCTCGTATCTGCTAAATTTCTGGGATTGACCTTCTACTCCACACCATCTTCGGTAATTAGTGAGCGACTGTCGATCTTCATATGAAGTGTCCGCCAGCTGAACGAACTGTCACCGGTCCGAGCGTAAAGAAAATGCAAAACAAAAAAAAAGGGCAAAGTGCTAACGCAAAGTGATACCCTTCGACAGTTCGACTAGAATGCCTAGTCTACTGGACTATCCTTCTGGCCTGCAGAATTTGCTTTGGTGGTCTAAACATACCGGCTCTGATTCCAATTGGGTTGCCTTGTAAAATGGAGTGCAGCTGATGTGTCCGTCTCGCATGAACTGCTAAGCTTGAAGCCCGGCATATCAGCTTTTGCCGTTTTGCGCACTTTTTCTTCTTTCTTCTCTTTTCTTTCTCTCTCTCTCTCTCTCCTTCTTCTTCTTTTTTGGTGGTAGTTTTCTTACCCACCTTGCTGTAGCAAGACGGGTGTCCCACATAACTGCACACCAGCCATGTCTTTAAATCCACCCTAAGATAAATCAATACGGCGTTATCCGTCCACTCAACAAACTCCATTCACAGCTAGTTCGCCAAGATGGAAGACGCAGCTGCTCTGGGAGAAAACGAATAATTCTCGTTAGCGAACGGGACGTAAATAAAGTTTTTCTCTCGTAGATGGATGCTTCGAACGTCAGCCTGCATGACCTGTAAAATTCAACCGAATAATTGACTTATGTGCGCACTGGTACTGGAGGTACCCACGTGAGGGCTACAAGACCTAGTGTAGGATCTACAACCACAGAGGCAGCCAGCCACTATCCTCACTATCAACAGACTACGTACCGGGCTTTCCTGTCCGAACGCTTTGACATCCATTTTTAAGTTACGCCATTTATGGAGACGGATGTCGTGCTACGTGGAACAATTCCGTGGCCGTTTTGGCCAAAGCTCGAATCTTCAATCAAGAGTCACTCATGATTCATGAATCATGATGGGTCGAATACGAAGGTTGGAATATTGAAAGCTAGACTCATTTGTTATGCTGGGTGCAATGCATGTTTACGCCATATATTGGATGAGACCTAGGTGGTCTGCACAGAAAACTCAGCAAATTTGCGGGCAAAAGTCAGCCACACAGCCGAGTACGGCATAGACCGGGGAGATTATCGCTCTTGATTACTGAATTGGCAGTCACAGAGAAACGTCCGGTGGATAATTCCCATGGATCTGATAGGTGGCCGTGTCGTCCGTGTTCTCACTACTGTGGTGGGTCTACTAGTGAGAGACTCGGCACTATCAACTGATCGTACCAATCGTCTGGTACTGCAGGATGCGGGTCTCCCCCAATTTCCAAGGCATACTCAGTATTACTCAGAAGAAACTTCGACGATATGGCAAGACCTCCGAAACTAAACGCAACCCGGTGAAAGTCATTGCGCATCCATCGCCGAAAACGTACAATCCGTCTGCTTCTCCGCTTAACGACCCTGTGCAGGATCGCACGGCCACGACCCACAATAGGGGCCTGTCATATTTGAGACAATGGCTTTCTTTTTTTTCTGCAGAAATCCTGGTGCCAGACTGCCGGGTCCATGGCTACCAAACGCGCGGAGTAGATATTCCCAGGCCTTTGGCTTCGAACAACATCGAACCCCTGCACCATGGGATTCATCCAGGATCTGGTGTCGGTTATTCAACCTTCAATCGAGTCGCCCTTGGCTATCTGCGTGACGACGGCAGTGGCTGTTGTACTGTACACTCTGGTGTTAGGGGCGTATCGCATCACACTGCATCCGTTGGCAAAATTCCCAGGCCCTAAACTCGCTGCTTTTACTCAATGGTACGAGACCTACTATGAGTTCTTCAAATCTCCGGGTGGGCAGTACTTGTTCCACTATCGGAAATTGCATGAGAAGTATGGTAAGTTCGCGTCGGGTCTTTCATCCCTGTCGCTTCGGGTATGTGCTGGGGAAAGGGCGTGCACTCACTTGATGCTATAGGCCCCATTGTTCGCTTAAGTCCTTTCGAAATCCATATCCAGGATTCGTCTTTTTTCGAGGAGGTGTACTCGCAGACATTACCGTGGGATAAACCGAAGGAACTCGAGCACCGGTTCAACAACGCCAATGGCTTATTCCCGACACACAATCATGAAGTTCACCGTCATCGCCGTGCAGCTCTTAATCCGTATTTTTCCAAACGCGCAATCAACAATGCGTCCCCGATGATGCAGGAGCAGATCACGAAGCTCTGCGACCGACTACGACGCGAGTACCAAGGGACTGGGAAGATCTTTCGCCTTGACTGGATG